CAAAAGTTCATGAGGCCCCAATATTACACAACTATAAAAAGTAGTTGAAGTTTATGATGTCATGAACCAAAAGTTCATGAGGCCCCAATATTACACAACTATTAAATTAGTTGAAGATTATAATATCATGAACTAGAAGTTCATTAACCAGATAACTTTTATGTTGTGGCATGAATATCTTGGCAATCCATGTTCCACAATGATACATAAGAATTTTATAAATTTGTAAGGACATCATTTAAAGACTCAAAATATGTCTTGTCCAACAAATATCATTACAAAGAATGCTCACAAATAAAAGCTGTCATACGATCATCTCAATCAAAAATTGACTTTGAACCCTCTTTCCTGAAATAATTCAAAGGGATATTTGTGAGCCTATACAACATTTAATTATGGATCACTTCACCAGTTTTATTGAATGTGCCTACTAAAATGGTCACATATTTGTCTATTGTCAATACGCTTACGAGCATAACTCCCACATTATCCAATCCAGTCAATTTGAATTGATAATGATGGTGAGTTTATTCTTCTACATTTTGAGACAATTTTCCCACCGTTAGAGGGAGAAATAACAGTTCTTGAAGAACGTCGTGAAATAGTGTTGAATCGGTCCGCTTTTGTCTCATCAAGATAATGCATATATAAAGTTATGAATATGCAAGCATGGATTGATATTCATGTATCACAATCCATTAACATGACAATAAGTGATTATGAGCATGACAAAAATATAGGTTCTAAAAACTTAACTCCATAGAAGTGGAGATTATTTGAAAAATTCAAGCCCTATAAAAAATAACGCTCTATATGAGGTTATGATCCACATATTCTAATTAATTCATTGTAAAAGAGATGTTTGTCCTATAAGTGACAACATCAGCCCCTGAAGAGGCATTGGTCAACCAAAGCAATGAGATGCTTATAAATTATGCATGTGTATGCACATAAGAATTGTGGGATCACAAATTGATGATACATTTGGTTTATTAGTAGCTACTACAATCATCAAGGGTTATGATTATATTAAATCATGTTTCATGAATGTCGACAAGTTAAATGATTGCCCAAAAATGGAAATAGACAATTCCATTTATCACTAAATATGAAGGGTTGGATATTGAACCTATAACTCAAACACCGAATTACAAATGTTAAGTATGAAGGTTACGAATTGGTGTTTGTGAAGTGAAATAAGATCACTAATATGACATAAGGTTTCTTGGTAGAGACATGGTTTTAGTCTCCCATCTCATCGTAGATGCATCCACATTTCTATAAGTGCAGTTATTATTTTAACACGAAACTTATAGCATGTGTTAAATGCATATTTATTAAGACTATATGGTACATGGAAATCCTCAAAGCTCATGAAATATTTGAGATATATCGGATAAAGTGACCCCTTGAAGGATATAAAGTACCACAATATTCTTAATTAAGAGTTTGATTATTTTGAATTCAAATTTGATATTGTTGTAACATATTCTAACTACTAAATTAGTTGTTGATGCTCCTAAAGATTTCAATCATTTGAAAAGTGAAAAAGAGATTGAATAGTGTAATAGACGATCATGTATGAAGACAATGTTGATTGTATTGCTCAAATTAGAGGAGAGATATTAATCAGGGGGAGATATCAATTAGGGGGAGCATTCCAATTCTACTACATACAGGACATATGCATGTTGTACTCTTTTTCCCTTTGACTAGGTTTTTGTCCTATCTGGTTTTTTCTAGCAAGGTTTTAACGAGGCAACGTAAGCGCATCCAACACCATATCAATGATTCAGAAGAAAGTTTCACTTTTTTTCCTTTCGTTTCGGTTTTGTCCCACTGGATTTTCCAAACAAAGTTTTTAATGAGGGAATTATGTCATTGTATGATGGACATCCAAGAGGGAGTGTTGTAAATGCATGAGTTAGTAGATGACCACCATACCTCTTAGCATTATCCTTTTTAATTCTATGTAACCTATACACTAAATATCATAGTTATGGGCTTGTAACTTATGAGTTGTTAATGTTTTCTTAGCATTGTAAACCTATAAATAAGAGGTCTTATCAAGATAAGATATACAAATTGATTGAACAATTTCTATTGTCTTTCTCTATTTTCTAATTCTCTACAATTTTTCCCATAGTTACATAACAGCTTATGAAATATAACACAATACCATTTTAACATTTAAGCCTAAAAAAAACTCAAAAACACTGTTTTTTTCTGATGGTTTTTTTTTCTACTCGTCTCTCATCGCTCGAGCGACGCTAGATCTGAGCTCCTTCTGGTCAAGCTCAAGCTTCAATCCTCCATGGCAGAAGCTTGAAGCTCCCTTGCTTCCTCTCTCCCCATCTCTCTTAGTCCCTCTCTCTCTCCCCATGTTTCTCTCTTCGTCCCCCTCTCTCCCTCTCTCTCATCAGTAAATTTTAGGGCTGGGCATCTGAGGACTGCGCTTCCTTGCCTCTTCTCGTCTCTGTGATTCCGTCAGTCGAAGCCTCGGCGTCACACGCCACCGCACAGGCCACACCATTGGCTCGCCGTGAGCTGAATCGAAGCCTCGGGTAATTTTTAGTTCCCTTTTTGTCCTTGTTACTGAAGATTGGGGATTAATTTCATTTGTGTTATGTTTGATTTATAGCTTATTTATATCTAATTCGATTTGATCTATATGAATTCTTGTGTGTAGCCTAAACTGTAATTTTTTTCTTGAAGTGGTTGATTTATTTAGAACCAAACCCATTTGTGATTGTAGAGTGGAGGATGCCCATGAGTGATTTATTTATATGTGTTTTAAGTTTTCATAGTTTTGGGATTATAATTATGTGGATTAGTGACTGCATAATTAAGTGTGGATTTGTTTAAAATTTAATGGCTGCTTGTGATACTGGTTATGCAAGTTCATTTGTTGTGTTTTATGATGCAATGGGCTTTTCAATTGATTATAGTTGATAATGTAAGTGTCTGAGATCATATTAGATGTGAAAGTTTAGAGCTTACGTTGCCTTGGTATGCTCTTGTTATGGTCCTGCATTTTTCTATACTTATCATAGAATCAAACCAGTCTTGTATTAGTCTTCAGAATTTTTTACTTATGAACCATTAATACACATTCTTTAGAGTTTAGACCCCACAACAAAGATCCATAGGAAGCTTCAATTCATTCCCCAATCCGCAGAACCTGTCACTGGGTTCTGTTTTCTGCACTCTATGCAGGGCATTTGTGCTTTCCGGAAATCTAAAGTGTAAACTCGGAAGGTCCTGTCATGTAGGGGAAAACTTTGATTTTTTTCATTGGGTTCTACTGTTATGAAAAATGTATAGTGTATGGTGTTGTTCTTTTCGTTCTTTTGGATTTATTTTTCTTATAACAGAAGAGCTTTTAGACTTTAAATCACTTGTTTTCTTATAAAAAAAACAGATTAATTTTTCTTTGTAATGTTCTGTATATTATTACAATAGCTTCTAATAGCTTCTTCCTGTTATTAGGGAAGAAGTTAGGAATTGGTTTTGTGACAATTTTTGAGGGAACAAGTTTCAAATGAATTGCAAAACCATGATATTTGATAGACTGAGGTTTTTCATTTTTCATATGAGAGCTCAGGTTTGTTTTCTTTTATGCCCATGCCTTATTCACCATGAAATATTGGATGTCGTACTTTTGTGTCCATATGTGGTATTTAATTATTTAAAAGCTAATTGAGTCCATATATGGGTAAATTAATAGTCCAGCAAAGCTTGAAGCTTTGGGCGTGAGAATTCAGATGAAATACCTTATCAATGTAAGGTGGTTGGGCATATATCTTTTAGCCTTGGAGGTCTAAAATCACTTTGCTTATGAGTTGAGGTGCCATCAATCATTGAGTCCCTATACAGATCTTTCCTTCTTTTTATCCCTAAAAAACATCAGATACCTCTGCATTTTTTTCTTTGCTAACTGGTTCTAATTGGTTGGCGCCCTTGTTGTTGGGAGGGTTTTTGTCAATGGTGACCTGGAAATCACCCGTGAATGCACCCCTGGTTGTCAGGAAGGTCTTTCTCTCTGCCTTACTTTGTCGTTTTTGGGAAAAGCGTTTTGATTTTTAATGCATGTTAAATGTGCGTGTCTGTGTTTTGGGTTTGAGTTCATCGTGAACTGGGTTTTTACGTTGATGGGTGTCCCTTTCTAGTCTTTTTAATCTGCCGTGAGATAAGAGTTTGTATTGGTTGTTTGAAGTTTTGCTTTGCAAAAGTTGTTTTTTTTTTTTTTTTTTTTTTTTTTTGTCGGTGTGTTTAAGTGTATGTTTTGTCTCAGTGAATGTCTTCTCCTTAACTGAGCTTGGCGATCATTTATGTATGGTATTAAAACATGGATGTTAAGATAGTATGTTTAATATAATTTTAATAATGTGCTCCCCACTCTGCACCTAAGTTCGAATCCCCTTCCTCATAGTTTAGATTAAGTAGAATGTTGTTTGTCTAATATATATATATATATATATATATATATAATTCCAATAATGTTTATCAGTATCTTATTTGAAAAAAAAATGTTTTCAAGAATTCAACCAAACAAGTTCTCAAATTTTTAAGATTTGAAAATAGTTTTCAAGTTGCATACCAAACAAGTTTTTGAATCTTAAAAAATGCATTGGAGAACTCCTTGTTTTTAAGAAAAATCAAAGTTTTTGAGTTCCCTGCTTGAATAGGATACCAAACGCCTAATGTTGGCAATCATCATAGTTAAAGTAGCTAAATTTTCCAAATTTCCAACGTCGGAAAATTTAGCCACTTTAACTTTGATGAAAAGTTAGCAATGTTTGAAGTACTTTATCTTGTCAACCTTCATTTGCACCACTTTGGTTATCTGGTTTATCTTATCTGTCTCTCATTTTAACTGTCCAATTTTTTAATTTAAATTGTTTTCAACATCACTTTGTGTGCTTGGGACATGCATTAATTTTTCTACATTTTTCTTTAGTTTGTTTCTTAGATGTTGAAGTTACATATAGAAGAGAAAAATGGTTGTTACAATGCACTTTCAGAACCCAAGACTTGTTCAATACTTCGTTCGGAACTTTTCTCTGTGGTCAATGAAGAAGGATCCATATCTTGAATCAGCGCTGTCTAAGAATCGCCGATGGATAGTGAATAATCAAATAAAAAACATCATCCTGAGGTGCCCTGATCAAGTAGCAACAGTGAGATTCATTCAGAAGAAGTTCAAGACCCTTGATCTCCAAGGAAAGGCTCTCAATTGGCTCAAAAAGTACCCATGCTGCTTTCAAGTCTATTTGCAGGGTGATGAGTACTACTGCCAGCTAACAAAACGAATGATGGGTTTGGTGGAAGAGGAAGAATCTGTTAAAGACATGCAGGAACCTGTGTTTGTTGAGAGATTAGCAAAGTTACTTATGATGAGCTCCAATAAAAGACTAAATGTTGTCAAGCTTAATGAACTAAAGCGGAACTTAGGTTTTCCAGATGACTATTTGATTAGACTTGTGCCAAAGTATTCTGATATGTTTCAGATTGTTAATTATAGTGGGCGGCGGAGTTCCATGGAGATTGAGCTGGTGTCTTGGAATCCAGATTTAGCGGTTTCTGCTATTGAAGCTTCAGCTCACAATCAAGGAACTGAGCCATGTTTCACATGCTCATTGCCTTCAACTTGGGTCAAGTCATGGGAAAGATTTCATGAATTTAATGCGACTCCTTATATTTCACCCTACTTGGACTCCAAAGGCTTAGTGGAGGGATCAAAGGAGATGGAGAAGAGGATGGTGGGTTTGGTGCATGAGTTGTTGTCATTGACTCTATGGAAGAAAGCATCAATTGCAAAGCTGGGACATTTTCAGAGAGAATTTGTTTTGCCAGAGAAATTGAACGTTTTGCTGCTCAAGCACCCTGGCATATTCTATGTCTCAAATAAGTATCAGATCTATACTGTCCTTCTTAGAGAAGGTTATAATGAGCAAGGACTGGTAGATAAGGATCCACTTGTTGTTGTGAAGGAGAAATTTGGAGAACTTATGCAGGAGGGGCTTCATGAATATAACCGCAGGCGCCATTTGGTAAATCTAGAAAAGAAGAAAAAGAAAGGCATGGTTTTGGGTAGACCAAATGAAGGCAAGGACAGGAGCTCTGAGATGTCTGACCCTGATGATCAGGGAGATAGAGGAGGATTGTTTGACCCAGAAGAAAGAAAGCGATTCTATAAGGTTCTCTTTGATGATGGTGCCCGATAAAAGAATCTGCTGATGAAGCTGTCTTTCCCTGTGTGCTCAAGATTTTACCCAACTGTGTTTTCAACAAGAAGGATCCAATTGTGTTGGGAGTTGATGTTCTGGAAGGCATTGCGAAGGTACTATTATATACATTGAATTTGTTTCACCTTGCTCTCTTTGGTGGGATATACCGTCTGAAATTTAGGTTTATCGTGGCATGACATGTCTATGCATTTGGGAAGGGCCCATTGTGTTTATTCTCAGAGTACTGTTTAGGAGTGTTTGGTTAATTTTTTTACCATCTTAATTTGTGTCTGTCTCTTTTTATTTCTGTTCTAGATTCTTTTTTTCTTTCTATTTTGCTTAGAAACTTGAGCTGAGACCTCAATGTTGAAAATTGCCCCAAGTAGAAGGATAGTCTGTAATTTTCACCAAATGAGTTATTAGAGTTGTTGAATGTTTAAAGTAGGCAGTGGAAACAATCTTGCTGAAAAAGCTCGAGCGTTCCTGTGGAACCTGCCAATGTTTTGCTGGTTCCCATTTTCATTATTTGGCGCTGCTAAGGATGTAACTCCTGAGCAGGAAAGCCCCTTTATTGCCGACTACTACCTTGGATTAAGTAGTGAAATTTCTCAGAAGGTTTCTTATGCACTTTCACATGCAATATATTTTGTTTAAACAATATGCACTTAAAAAAACAATTAATTTTCGAAGTTCATGAGAATTTTAGTTTGTGTGGTATTTATGCTTTATCATCCGAAATACCAGACAACTAGTACACATTCTAGATATTGTTACACTGAAAGTTCATCCCCAGATGCTGGTAAATTATATTTGATGTTTCCAGAGCTAGCTTTTTTGGTTTTTCCTAATTTTTTCTCTTCATTTTATTAATACTAGTTCTTGAATCATGTATGATCAAAGTTTGCGAGTTTTTTTGGGTTTAATATGAATAAGTTCCACTCCTGTTATTATGTGTTTAATTCCTTCACCTTTCAAAGCTTGTGTATTATGTTCCGGGGTGTAGATAGTGCTCAGCGCCTTCACAGGAACTTTTTGAAAGTGTTATTTTATAAGATCAATTAAATGTTTGTTAATTAAATCTGGCTGTCTTTATATTATGTGATCTTTGTGCAGGTTGGGACTCCAATTTGTATTCCACAAAGGGATTTTATTACTATTGGGCGAATTGCATCCATTGAAAATAACCACAAACCTGTTGATATAGCGAAGAAGGGGCTGAGGGTAGCCATTAAGGTATGATAACTTTTGACATTTGTGCTCTCTCTCTCTCTCTCTCTCCCATGTGTCACTGGTCGGAAAAGTTCAATTTTGTAGCTGTTGCTGTTCTTGCCTTCGGTAAATATATGGAGTTGCCGTGTCAAAAATTATAGGGCTTTATGACTTTTGTTATGAATAGTGGGTTCTAGATAATAGGTTTTTGTTAGATCAATGCTCTTTTGTATGAGCAATGATGAAGCAAAGCTATACACAGATTGATACTTTTCGATATTATCATTGGAAGTGTAAGTTCTATTATTTGATGTATTACAAGTAACTGCTCGCATATTTTCCGTCAACTTAAATTTTTCACAGGGTTCAGTAGTCATTAATATTAGAATCTTAAGTAATTTGAAAATATAGACTCCATGGTCATGGCTCATTGATTGGGGCTGTAGCTCAATGAAAAAGGAAACTCTTGTAAAAGAACTTTGCCTTCTGGAAGCTGTGTATGCCATTTGGAAGGAAAGGCATAAAAGAATTTCTAGACATCAGTTAAAAACTCCGTATGATCATCATGCTAGTTATAACTCTGTTTTGAGAGAAGGGGAGGGGGGGTTTGATTCCATTGAGGTCAAGTCATACTGAAGCCCTATTCTGATTTTGCAACTAGTCCTTTGATGCATTACTGGCCTTCGCTTTTACTTTTGTTGGCTTTTAGCATTTGACCCATGCTCATCTTTGCTTTATGGGTGATCTGGTTCCTGTCTGCTTCTGACTTTCCTTGGCATAGTGCTTATCGCCGTCTTTTCTTTGTGTTTTTGCAGATAGTTGGGGCAAACTCTGATGAACAGCAAAGGATGTTTGGTAGGCATTTTGAAATTGAAGATGAACGTGTCAGTCATATCTCAAGGAGGTCGATTGATATACTAAAAGCGAATTGCCGGGTAAGCTTAAATTTCATGTACAGTTCACTTTTCGGACTATGTCAACTGTGGCTCTTAATTGTAATTTTAAATATTCAGGATGAGCTATCAATTGACGAATGGAACCTGGTTGTGAAATTGACTTTTCGAGATACCATGAGTGAAGCTGATGCGATACTTGAGCAGTTCTTTTATAACACAACACTTGTGGGCTTTACTGACTTCAGCGGCAATCAGAGAGAATGCCGAGATTCCTTGTGGAAAGATTTTTGATCTTTAAGCGACACCAATACATTTAGGCACTCAAGTTCAAATGCCATATGTGGAGAGTGGAGAGGGAGCAAAAGTAGTTCCAGCTCGCTTTTCCACGAGGTCCTTTTTCCAGAGTCGAAAGCTGGGCCTGTTCTGATTTTTTTATCATGTTAGGCTACACTACGTTGTTTTGTCCCGTATCTCTTTGGAACTCTAGCGTCTATAGGTTATAATACCCACCTTACAAGTCTGTTGATGGAAAATGTATTTTAGGTGCACGTGAGCTCGCTTTCGAAGAGTAATATTGAAATTTTCATGGCAAACCAGCTTAGTTGTATCTTCTTCAAAACCCTACTGGGCTGGCAGGTAAAACTTGGGAAAGAGCTGAAAATCGACAGCGAAGAAGCTAGCGAAATGTCCAGAAAAGCATCTTATCCCTTGTTTTGCTGATGATAAAATACATATACTTAAAGGAAACCTCAAGAGACATGACTATGTTTTATTTTTCATTTTTGCTCTATCGATGGCAAACCATCTTATGAAAAGTTTTTGGCTGTTTGTTTCTATTTTTAGGTTGTTACTTTGCTCCTCGTGACCATTTTAGATATAAGAAATGAAAAGTAATAATCCAAAATGAGGCTAAAACTGGTGTCAAATAGGCGGATAACGAGATTTGGCTCCATTTCTCTCTACTCTCACTTTGATATTTCCTCAAATGTTGGAAGATAGGCATAGGAGGCATAGGATATCCTTTCAGGCGAAAGACATTGTGTTTGTTCTTCTTATCGGTAGTGGTGCTAATTAGCAAGACCAAGTTGGATTTAAAATTTGCATAGAGTTTTAATGCATTTGATGTACTAGGCTATAGAATGCAACACAATTCTCCAATGAGATGTCAAATACTAAACACTAAATTGGGTATAATAGTGAATCTTCCAATTTAAATTTGATGGTTGATGAGACAATCTAACATTTTGCACAGTTTTACACGCCATCAATATGTCAAATTAAAATTATTTTATTATATTGGTGTTGATTTATTTATTGCTTTCTTAAATGAATGTATTTTTATATTTTATTATTAAGAGTAATTCATTAATCAAGTTAAAATACTTATAAATTAATTATGAAATGTAACATTAAAATTATTAAACAAAAAAAATATCCTTCTCCTGGTGGTTGATGAAAAGCACATAAAAAAGATCAACATAAAATTTCAACCATAAAAAAGTGTTGCTAAATAAACCTTAAAATTAACTGAATACATTATAATATTAAAATCGAAATGTAAAATTAACTAAGTATGCCTCTTTAACTACCAAAAAATACTCATGATACACAATAATACACTCTATCACACAACACCATACCCGCCTTGGGCCTGACTCCGCAGTGCTTCCAGTGAGCAATCTCAGGGCTAGTTTGGCGTTGCTGTGCTTTTAAAAAAAAACTGATTCTGCTGTGCTGCAAGAATAATCAGCTGTGAAAAAAATCAGTTAGGCGTTTGGTAAACTATATTTGAAAAAGTGCTGTGAGTAATCAAAGTGTTTGGTAAATTTTTATCAAAATTGATTTTAGTATGTATAATGACAAAAAAGGACATGAATCATGATGAAATTATTTGTTGTTTTCTTATTTCTTTTTAAGCTACATTTTTTTTTCTTTTTTTAATTTACACTTTTTTTGAGTCAGAACATTTTCGTCTTTTTGCATCTTTTTTTTTGGGAACCCCCTTTTTTTTTCCCCAGATCTCTGCATCTCTTTCTGCTGCCTCTTTTTCATCTTCTTCTCCTTCCTCCTGTCACCTGCTTCTTCTCCTTTCTCTCTTCAATTTTTCTCTTCTACTCCTTCTCCTTGTTCTATTTTTCTCCCTCTGCCCAGAGAAGTCGTCCTCCTTGCACAGTCGTCATCGTCGTCTACAGTCCAAGCTGTGGAGTCTTCGTCGTCTGTCATCGCTGTCATCGTCGTCTGCCATCAGTGCTTGTCTGTCATCGTCGTCGTCTACAGCCCATGGTCGGACGTTGTGGTTGTGGTTGGAGCTTGGGTGGGGTTTGTTGCAGACAATGAATAGAAAAAGGGATGTGGGTTAGAACGAATAGAAAGAGGGATGGTTGTGAATTAACAGAATGAAGAAGAAAATGGGAGTCTGCAGAATGGAGAAGAATAGGTTTTTGCTGCGTCGCTCGATTTGTATTGGAGGGACAAGGACTGTCTATTTGAAAAATAAGTGAGGGCATTATGGGAAAGTAAAACATTCATTAAACCACCGGTTAAATTTTTTTTAAAGCAGCTTTTAAAAGCTGGGTTATGCCTGCTTTGGAAAAACAGCGGTCATTGACCGCAATTTTTTTTAAAAGCTGATTTCTGATGTTTACCAAACACCATGGTTTGGCAAAATTTTTATTAAAGCAGCTTTTTTTAAAAATTTAAGCACTACCAAACGCTACCTTAGCTCCACAAAGCCGTCACTGCCCTTGGTTGTTTCACACTCTTGTCTTTACGGTGGAATTGGAAATCAGATGCCATAGGGTCAAGCCATGGTGGTGCAATGTGTCCTCTGAAATGGGTCAAGTGGGTAACCAGGGGCTGTCCTGGAAGCTATATCTTATTGCCTGGAGCAGATCTGCTCTCCAGCTTTTAAATGGATGGGTGACTTGCAATTTGGACATGGTCTCATAGATGATGTAATAAGCCTGGGGAGAGGGAAATGAAATCTGAGAAATCATGAAAGTTGAGAAGAAGGGTTTGTGATCTGCAGAGGATGGTTTTAGGCTGGGAGATGGATGTGAAACCCGAGAAATCATGACAGTTGAGAAGAGTTGAAATGAGGAGTAAGCTCAAGATGGCTGAGAGGAAGATTTATTTCATCATGTGTTCGGTCTACGAGCAGCAACCCGGGGAAGCTTGGTCTTCCTTAGTGGCCATGGTAAGGGCAGAGAAGAGTTCAGCTTTGAATTATGAAGCTGCTTCAAGGCCTGGGAAAGTAGACAACAAAGCAGAAATGAGGGGCAAGGTTTTGATTCAAGGAATCAAATGCAACAGAATTGTAATTTTTTGGTGGTTGTAATGAAATTCTTCACATTTGAATAGCTATTGAAATTAACAGGCCACCGTTAATGTAATGGGGAAAGTGAAGCACTCCTCTCAACTTGGGTTTTGATTTTCCCCTTTATAGGAAAGTTTGGAAAAATGAGCCAACATTAAATACACATATTTCATGACAATTTTGTCCCCATTAACAATTTATAATTACAATATATCATTAAATGTATTTTTTTTAATTTGATTTCGTTGGGGTCTTTTTCGTTCGAAGGCTCGTCCGGGCTTATTGATTCTTAGATCGCCATAGAGTGATGAATGAAGCCTTTGTTACCCCCCTTGTCTGAGTTAGCGAGAACTAGACCCAAAGCATCCCGAGGGAGAAGCAAGTCCCAGGGGAGTACTCTGTTCTTCTTCCAGCGGCTGCATATTTTGTACTGATGTTTCTGGCAGCTTGACGAAAAGTTGAAGATGGCGCATTAATGTTACACAGACTTGGCATGAGAGTTTGCTTTGTGAATTGAGACACTACTTGACTAGGCATGAGAGGTTAGGTGTTTCAGATACGGGATGAAGCTTTTTTGAGAGAGAGAGAGAGAGAGAGAGAGAGAGAGAGAGAGATAAGAGATGGGTGGCTTGAGTAGATTTCCAGCAGCTTGACGAAAGCTTTGTCAGGCTCTTGGGTGGCTTACCAAAAGAGAAAAAAGGGAAGAAATGGAATAACAGAGCTTGAAATCGAAGGGTTCCAAAGGTGAGTGGTAATGCTTGCTTTCTCTGGATATGTTTATGGAGGGAGAGGAAGAATATGGAAGAACACGGCTTGAGATTGAAGCTTCCAGCAATGAGTAAGGATGTTGCTTGCTCTGGCTAAGTTGAAGATGACTTGTTGATATTGATATGAGATTATATGAGCTTGACATGAGAGCTTGGAGTGTGGGAGCTAAAGACCCACAAGTTTAGCAAATGAGAATGCTTGTGCTTGGGTTGGTGTTTGATATATTTGAGTTTGGGTGTTGAGAATTTATTGTTTGAGGCTGTGGCAATGGTGGTTTGATTGTTTGGCTGTGATGGTTGTTGGGATGCTTATAGCAGTCAAATGAATGGGGTTTCAAAGAGCATGGCTGAGGAAAGAAAAACTTAAGACTTTGAAATGTATGGTGTTTGTGACAATGATTCTAGAGAAATTTATGAGTTCTAGAGGTGGGAGGATAAAAGGAAAAGCTTGAAGCTTGAAAGCTATAGTGTTTATAGCTTGGAAGGAAGGAAAAGCTTTGAGTTATGCTTGGTGAGGCTTTATGGAGAAGATGATGGATTTCAAGGGTGAGAAAGTAGAAGACATGATTGTGATGGCTGAGGAATGGCTGGGATAGTCGCTGGAATGCTTGCAGCAACTGAATGGAGGAAGGAAAGTAGTCTGGTGGTTGCTAAAGGGGGTTGATGGCTGCTGGGATGCTTGCAGCAGCGGAGTGAGGGAGTGTTGGTTGAAGAAAAATTGGTGTCCTTTGCTTGAGTCATGAATGCCAATTTATAGACGGTGAGGGTTTTCCTTTATTTCCAATAGGTAAAGGGAGGTTCTGGAACCAGCCTATTTCTAGTGGTTAAAAGGAAGTACTGGGGCATGCTATTTTCCAACAGGTGAAGCTAGGTACCATAAACTGATTATTTCCTATGGGTAAAAGAAAGCACTAGAGACTGCTTGTTTCCAGTGGGTAATAGGAAGTGCTAAAAAATGCTTGTTTCCAATGAGTAAAGCTAGGCATTTGGAAAATGACTATTTCCTATGAGTAAAAGGAAGTGTTTGAAAATATATCATTTGCTCACCCACATTGGAGAACTTTGAGTAATGGGCTTGGACTTTGATGCTCCCAAGTAGTTAGCCCAAAGTCTCCATTATCCAAGAGCTTCTGTGAGCCTTGTGGACCTCCGTAACCTTCCACACCACAATCCCTCATGCAAGCCCCGTAAACCACATGACTTGGGTTCATGTGAGCTTGATAGGTGATTGGCATGAGAAAAATGTATTATTAGTTTAGCATGGCATGCGCACTATTTCTATATTTATTGAATGAATTAAATCCCAAAATACAGTTTTGATTAATGCATGATCGACATTATATGTTATATTGGGCTTTAAATGTCTTTGGGCTTCCCGTGATTTTTTGGGCCTCAACATATTTAATATGGGTATAATTGGAAAATTATACAAACTTTATTTTCCATTCCTACTCAAAACAAACATGAGAAATGAAATAAACTGATATCTCTCGATTACTTTCCCAACATTATCAAGCATGGAAAATGAATCTTCCATTTCCCATTCATTGGGAAATAACATGAGAAGTGATTTCCCCTCAAAGTTTTTCCGTGAACCAAACGAGGCCTAATTATTTCATCAACTTTAATAAATAAAACAATTTGTAGGAGCTAAAACTATTACCAACAGTCTCACAGTTCTACAATAAACATCATCATTTTGTGACGTCTAAAAGTTTATATATATATATATATATATATATGGGGAATACTAGCAACCTTCTCTCTAATCTTCTCATTTGGACCTTCTCCCTTTTCCTCATGACATGTGTCATTCTCATTATACTTAAAACAATGTCATTAATGCATTATACAAACTAACTTTTGCTTTCCAAGTTTATCCTATTCAATTAATCTTTTTTTTTTTTGACAACTCTCTTACCATCTTAATAAAAAGTTTTTTTTTAACGTAATTTATTATTATTTTTTAACGCAAAAGAAATGTCAATTTCTATTTTATATATAAAAAAGACGTCATTCACATCCGTGAGCACCCCAATGGTACAGAGTTTACAGGCTAACTTTTTTTTATTATATATATATATATATATAAAGGAAATTGCTTGATTGCTTTTTTTATACTACTAAATAAACCAAAATATCCCCTAACAACATAGGCTTGAGATAAAATATATAGAAGCAAAAGAATAAAAAATCATCAAAATTGAATTCAATATGAAAAAAATAAATAAATTACAGTTTAGATTAACAAAAGAAAAACAAAAGAGTGGTCTCCATCCATATTATACAAACAGCTATAATATGTTGCTCTACTCTATTTTTATTATTTTTTAATAGTCATGAAGATAAACATTTATAACAACCCAAGGCAAAAGGCTTAGGCCCCGTTTGGGATTGTTTTTTTTGGCCAAAAACCTGCTTCACTTTAAAGTTAAGCAGTTTAAGGTGTTTGGTAAAAATAAAATATCACCATTATTTTAAAAGCAGTGGCCTTTTAACAGCAGCTTTTAAAAGCAGGCTCTGGGTTGCTTTTTAAAGCTCCTTTCAAAAGAAGCAGATATGAACTTTTAATGAACTTTTTTTAATTCACAAAATACCATCATTCATTTTTAAAAATGACATCACCTCCACTTCCACATCCAACTCCACCACTTGCACCACCACATTCATTACCTCCACAACCACCGCCACCACCACCGCCACCACCAAATCCTTCTCCTCCTCATCCTCCGCCACCACCACCACAACCACCACCTCCTCCACCACCTTCACCACCACCTCCTCCACCTCATCCTTCACCTCCACCACCTCCTCCACCACCGCCACCGCCACCGCCACCACTAGCACTACCACCACCACCACAACCACCACCTCCTCCAAAACCTCCACATCCACTACCACCTCCACAACCAATACCACAACCACCACCATGTTGCTACTACCACCATCGCCATCACCACCACCTCTACAATCGCCATCCCCACCACCACCACCACCACTACCACAACCACCAACTCCACCTTCATCACCACCACTACCTCCAGTCCATCATTACCACTACCACCACATGATTAGTACATAACACTTTTAACATCATGTCTATTTTAGTCATTATTCACAGTTACAATAATTTTATATTAAAATTTACCAAACGGTTTTGACACTGCTTTTTGTACTAACAGCACTTTAAAAATATTGTTTACCAAACATGGGGCTGCTTTACTTTACAGCTAATTATTTTCAAAGCACAGCAGAAACAACTTTTTTTAAAAGTGACAGTAATCCCAAACTGGGCCTTAGAGGAGAGCCAAAACCTGTACAAACAAGAAGTAAAGACCCAAAAACATAACTGACGTTAAATTTTTAATTTTTTTTAATTTTATTAAGATGGTAAGAAAGTTGTCAAAAAAAAAGATTTAGATTAATTGAATAGGGTAAACTTGGAAAACAAAAGTTAGCTTATATAATGCATTAATAACATTGTTTTAAGTGTAATGAGAATGACACATGTCATGAGAAAAATGGAGAAGGTTAGAAAGAAGGTTGCTAGCATTCCCCTATATATATAATAATAAAATAACAAATGTTGTGTTTGAGCATGATTGGTAAATCTAGGTAATATGTCTGGACCGAAGCCCAAGAGAAAATTAAAAAGGCTTGATTTTGTCTGTACTTGATCTGTCTTGAGCGACCCATTCAACAGCTCCCCAATTTCAGGTCCGGTCCACCATCATAATCGTAGTTGTACCAAACTTCCAAGTTCCCCATTTCCCCACACACATTCTCTCTCTCTCTCGTCTGCAACTCAGGAGCTGATCTTTCTCTTCGAATCAGAAGGTACCCTTCTTCTTCTTTTTCGCCTCCAAAAATCAAACTAAACTTTCAATGTGTTTTTTTTATCGATTTTATTTATTTATATTTCTGTGCAGGCAATTGGAGAGCTCTTTGATTCATTTCTATGTGAGTATCTCTGGGTTTATTAATCTTTGTGGGTTTTCCCATTTTGCTTTTTCACATGAATGTCAGGCATGGAGAAATTGAAATGTCGACACGAACATTGTGTATCAAGGGGTCAAAACACCAAATTTTCATATTGATTTTCTCTTTCTCTTTGGATTGAAACCTGAAGCTTTTCTCTTTCTCTCATCGATCTTTTTATTTTCTCTACTAAGGGCGGATGAAGAACTCGTTGATCAGAAGAAGTATCTTGAGGAGTCTTGCCAGCCTAAATGTGTGAAGCCTCTGATTGAATATCAGGTAATGAAATTTATTTCCTAGGTTAATTTTAGATGCTGTTAATATGAACTTATAATTGGATCAGATATTTTTTTAAATCAAATTACTAGAGAGAGAGTCGTATCAACTTATTGGTCTTTGTTGTACCTGTGTGTTTTATCCATATCCATGCTCCCTACTAGAGGGGTATAGGGAATTACAACCTAGAAAAGCTCCCAAAATTAATTCTCCTATGAAATCTTGGAAGTTGGAAACATATATTTTCATGGTCCAACAAGTTAGAATGCGTTCTCTATGTTTTTCCATAAGAGGAAGTAATTTGGAAATCATATATATCATCAAATGTGAAATTTTGTAATATCAAGTTATGAAGTTGGGTATGCCGTGCAGAACATTATAGAGAGTAATTGTACAAAGGTTATAGCACAAAATAAGAGTATCAGAAGATCAGGATTCAGGATGTCATACTAAAGTGATTAAGCAAGCTCTTTTGACATATTTTAATGGAATTGTTGGGTTGGCTTAGAAGGTTCATAACTACTACTCTTAGTATCGGACGCTTGCCTAGACAACATCAAGATTCGGCTCTCTACCTTTACTTTCTTGGTTTACTCCAAGATTTCCCACTTGACCATGTACTTACTGGAATTATAGAACGGGCTAAGAACAGGGAAAAGTTATAGAACATATACTTACTGGGATTTTTATTATTATTATTATTATTATTTATTTTGGAAGAAGTGTTACAGAGACTATGAAGTCTCAATCAAAATCTGTTGCACTTGAATCTGTTGAAATATGGACTTGCTATGGAGAACAAATCTTACACTGTAGGTACTTATTCTGTTGTATGTAGCTCGATGAATATAATGCCATTTCCAATACCACAGTTATGTATTAAATGCAGCAGTTTAAAACCAGCAGAATGACTCCTAACATCGCGAACTGTTGGGTCTCAATCGAATTTCCCCTACTTGAACTATTGGGCTAGATTTAATAGACTGCTTGAATCTTTTACTTACAAAAGAGTAGATGATTAGGCAGCTACTACTGCTGGGCATCGGTTATAGTTCAACCTTAAAAGTTGTAGATGCATATGGCTTTCCTTTTTGTCTATATTTCTACTTTTTTGCACCCCCGTTCCCTCCTGCCGTAATTGTTGAGTAATAAAATCAAAATTTGAATCTTTTCTTCTATTTGTTTTTCATTTTTTTTAAAAGAAAAAAGAAATGGAATAATATGATTGTTAGAGGTCTTTGTTCTGGTATTTATATGTGTACTTGAGATTGTTCACATTTGGTTTGAATGAATGTAATTTCGTATTTGTACTGAGATTGTTCAACTTTTTTATTTATTGTAGGCATGTGTTAAGAGGGTTGAAGCTGATAACAATGGCGACAAGCATTGTACAGGCCAATACTTTGATTACATATCTTGTGTTGACAAATGTGTAAGTTTTCATTTTAATTCATTATGTTGTATTAAATTTGTTCAGTCCCATGTGTTGATCATTGCCTTATGGCGTGTAGGTTGCGCCGAAGTTATTTGGAGCACTCAAGTAGCTGAGTGGCAGTTTTAGGGTCTCGCATCCATTAATCGTTACTGTTTTACGGTGGATATTGTTTTTGAACTCGTGCTCTGATGTTCGTCGTTTTTGGTTTCAGCGACATGGTTAAGATGTTGTTGAGAGGTGTTGAATTAGAATAAAAAGAAAAGGGTTTTTAACTCGAAGGTTCTCAAACTTATACCCGAGTTGTATTTTGATTACTCAACTAAATTATTTGTTCAAATAGTCCACAAACTCTTTATTATTCGGTGCATTGGTCCTATTATTACACTACTTCAATATTGCCATTAATTTGAGGGTTAAAATTGTCAATTTATACTATAATATTAATAAATTAATAAAATCTATAAAATGTTATAAAAAATTAAAAAAATTAAAAATTAAAAACTAAAATAAAAAAAAAAAAAAAAAAAAAAAAAAAATAAAAAAAAAAAAAACCCACCATAACCCTCCCATACCTCCATCCTTGCAACCTACCCCACAATCTTTCTTCCTTTTTTCAACATTCAAACATAGCTAAATTCCCAAATTAAACAACAACAAAAACAAAAAACAAAAAATTAAAATATTCGCTGCAAGAAATTTAGTACCAGGAGGACACGATAATGAAGGTGGTGGCTATATGGGTCTTTTTGTTCCAGTAGCTTAACGAATGGGCTTGGATAGCTATAAGGAAAAGACAGATAATGTTGCCCCTGTGCCATTTTGCCCCTGCATTTAACAGAAAAGTTAACAAAATTGACGGCATGACCATTTATCCTAAAGAAGTTGAAGTTGAAGAACCACGAGAACGATTAACCTTATTAAATTATTGTTATACTACTATTAGCTTTACCATCAATTTACATCGTGTATTATAGGTGCCCTATGTAGCCTGTTAGACTATTAGTATTGAGTCCAAGTTCCAATAGCATGGCGATTAGCATTCCACTTTGGACTTGAGGATTTTGCTAATGGTAGCTGAGGGAGTCGATACATGCGCGTGTATGACTGTTAGTCGTTAATGAGTGCGTGGAAAGCTATTGCTAGCCAATTGTTGATATATACCAGTGCCTGACAATTGTTGATTGATTTGGTACTTGACGGAGCTAACAGTTTTGTTGCAAAAATTTTGACACCTGAAAATGTTTTGTTTGCTGTTACAGCCGAAAATATTATCCAGCTTTCCCCTGTAAATATAATTACTAAAGCTGCCTTGGAATGCTTTTAGTAGTGAAAAAAAAAGAAAAAAGAAGAAGTAGTCTTGGAATGCAACAAAGCTAAGAGCACTTCCAGCAGCTAAGGCTGGTCTCGGGCTAGGGGGTTTGGGCCAAAAAAGCGTTTCCAGCAGCAAGGGCTAGCCCTAGCAAGAGGTGGAGCCCATGAAACCAAGCCAGCCCTTAGGCAAGATCAACCCTAGTTCAAGCCCGGGGTTGTTAAAAAAAAAAAAAAAAAAAAAAAAAAAAAAAAAAAAAAAAAAAAAAAAAAAATTAAAAAAAATAAAAAAAATTCATAGTTTTCATTTCTCACACCAAAACTCTATACAAATTTCTCACCTCATATCTCATGTGAATAGTTGTTGTCATAATAATTGGTAGAAACACCACAACCTTTTGCAAAGGCAGCCACTATTCACGCGAATGGTATCTGCCCTAGCCCCCCTCTTGCTATGGCAAAAGGCAAACTGCTGGAAGTGCTCTAATGTAAGGCAAGAGGCCCTTTCGTCAGGAACTTGATGAATTGTTTGTTTTCTTTTTGGGCAGTTGGGCCCCATGTCGATTAAACTAAAATAAAAAATAAAAAATAAAACGGGCTAGTATAAATAAAGCTTCCGTTATTTCTAAAGCCTGTTATACAATACCATAAAAATATTTATACAATATACAATACATGTTAATAAATGAAATTTTTAATCATTTCTAATAATTCATTTTATTATTTTTAAATAATTTGTGGTATGCCACGACTTCGGTTCTCTTTACGACAAGAGTGTAAAGTTTGTGTATGAAAGTGTCAAAAAAAACAGTGGAGGTAATGAAGGTAAAAATTCCGAGCAGTAAAGTAAAAATTGTCTTTAAAATCCATTATTCTCTTAAAAATATTTTTTGGACAAAGGCCCAAGGTCCTGGAAAATTATACGAAAGCCCAGAACCACCTTTCCTCTAAATCCAAGCCTACCCAACCCAACCCTAGAAACTTTAAAAGAGAACACGTTTGTTATTGTTGCTCTCTCTCTCTGAAGCTCGCTCAGTCTTCTTCCCTGTAATTCCAATCCATTCGAACAGTCATTTTCTTCTGCAACCCCTCGGTTCTATTGCTTGTGCTTTCTCCTCACCGCCTCAAGTGAGCTCTCTTTCTCTAATATATAATACATATATATATATGTATGATATATGCGTGTCTTATAAATATGATCAGATTCTTTTCCACTTTTCTGAAATGATTCTTGCGGTTACTGCTTTCTGATTTTATAAATTTAGATCTAATTCTTTAGCTTCTGAAACATACATAAACAAATACATTTCTGTATCTTTTTTTCTTGATTGTGTTTATTGATTTTGAAATTTAGGATTTTGGAGGGGCTTCGTTTCAATTGTTCCAAAAGATTGTATAATTTGTCGAAACCTCGATGGGTCGGAAGAAGCCGACTACTCGCGACGAAGAGAACCCGCAACCTGCAGGGTCGAAATCGAAGAAGAAGGCGCTGGTAATTGAAGATGATGAGTATTCAATCGGAACTGAGTTGTCCGAGGAGTCTCAAGTCCAAGAAGAGAAAGTTGCTGTTACTGGAAAGAAGGGTAAAAAGGGAAATTCAAAAGCTTCACAGCGCAGGGATGAGGACTTAGACGATGTGGGAAAGGTGGACGAGGGTGATGATGAGGTTCCCCAAGTCGCTTTCACTGGAAAGAAGAAGGGAAAGTCCAAGAAGAGTGGTGGGAATAGTGTGTTTAGCACTTCAAGTTTTGGGTTGCTTGGTGATGAAGATGAGGGTGTTGAGGATGATGAGAAATCTGGGTTGACAGGGGACGAGGAGGAGGATGCTCCGGTGGTGAGTTTTTCGGGCAAGAAGAAGGCTTCTAAATCGTCAAAGAAAACTGCTGGTAGTTTGTTTACAGGGTCAGCTTTTGATGTCATTGGTGATGAGGGCGATAGTGATGGTGAGGTTGTTGATGATTCTGAGGATAAGAGTAAAGAAGATGATGAAAATGAGCCTGTAATTGCGTTTACGGGGAAGAAGAAGCCGTCCAAGGGTGGAAGGAAGGTGGGGAGTGTGTTTGCAGCAGCTAGCTTCGATGCCCTCGATGATGCGGATGAGGATAAGGATGAAGAGAAAGATGCGGACGATGATGTTCCTCAGATTACTTTCTCCGGCAAGAAAAAGAAGTCATCAAAGGCTTCAAAGAAGAGTGGTGGTAATGCTTTTAGCGCAGCATTGCTTGACGAGGGAAATGATGAAAATACTTCTGTATCCGAATCAACTAGAGTTGGTGATGACGGAGTTGAGGACGAAGATGCATCTGTGATTGCATTCACAGGTAAGAAGAAGTCTTCCAAAAAGAAAGGTAATAGTGTTATTACTGCATCGAGTGAAGAAACTAAGGTTGGGGCTGAAAATACAGATGTAGTTGAACCAGAACAACCAAGTAAGGAAACTAATAAAATTGAAGCTGACGATGCTAAAGTTAACAAGAGTAAAGAGGTTCCAGAAACTTCAAAAAGTAAGAAAAAGAAGAAGAAAAGTGGAAGGACTGCTCAGGAAGAGGATGATTTGGATATGATTCTTGCTGAGCTAGGTGAGGGGTCTTTTGCATCGAAACCTGCTGCTGCTCCTATGCAAGAGGAGAAAGTTGAGGTTCAACCTGATATAGTCACCCCGGTTGATGGTTCAGGTGAAAAGGAAGGTGAAGAAGAGACTGTGGAGTCCGCTGCGGCGAAGAAGAAGAAAAAGAAGAAGGACAAGGAAAAGGAGAAAAAGGCAGCAGCTGCAGCAGCGGCTGCAGGGACTGCTACTGCTTCTGTGGCCATTGAGGATGAAAAACAAGAAGAAAAAAAAATTGAACCTAAAGAATCCAAGAAGAATGAAGTGAAAGGTAAAGCAGCAGACAGAAAGTTCCAAAGCATGTTAGGGAGATGCAAGAGGCCCTTGCTAGGAGGAAGGAGCAGGAAGAGAGGAAGCAAAGGGAAGAAGAGGAGAAACGGAGGAAAGAAGAAGAGGAGAGGCTTAGGCTGGAAGAACTTGAAAGGCAAAAGGAAGAGGCCAGGCGTAAGAAAAAAGAAAGAGAAAAGGAGAAGCTACAAAAGAAGAGACAGGAAGGCAAGCTTTTAAGTGCAAAGCAAAAAGAAGAAGCCCGTCGGCTGGAGGCAATGAGAAACCAGATACTTGCTAATGCAGCTAATGCATCAGGGAGTTTGCCTCTCCCTACCACAGACAATGAGAAAAAAGCTAAACGACCTTTGTATCAGAAAAAGAAGTCAAAAGCAGTACCCAATCATGCAAATGGTGTGGCTCCTGTGAACCCAGTGGAAAGCATAGAAGAAGAGGAAAACCAGCAAGACACCGTTCCTGAGCTGTACTCTGTGGAATTTGACAAGGTTGAAGAGGTAGAATCAGTGGACCTAGAGGACAAATCTGAAGTTGCTGAATCTGTTAAAGAGAATGGAGTCGAAGAAGAAGAAGAAGAAGATGATGAAGAATGGGATGCAAAGAGCTGGGATGATGCTGTTGTTAACCTTTCTCTTAAAAGTGGATTTTCTGATGAAGAGGTTGACTCTGAGCCTGAACCTGTCGTGAAAAAAGACATAAAGAGTGCAGGTTCCAAGTTGGCAGTTTATGCCCAGAGAAGCATTCCTTCTCAACCAATAAAATCTCAGGATGCTGAGAATAAGAAAAAGCAACCTGAGATTGATGCTGATAGAAGTAGGAAGAAAGAGGCTACTGCTAAAAAAGAAGCACCAAGTTCAGATTCTGCCACTAAAGAGGGTGAAGATAACCTTCGTTCTCCTATTTGCTGTATTATGGGCCATGTTGATACTGGTAAAACTAAGCTGCTGGATTGTATCCGAGGCACAAATGTTCAGGAAGGTGAGGCTGGAGGTATTACTCAGCAGATTGGCGCAACATATTTTCCTGCTGAGAACATCCGTGAGAGAACTAAGGAACTGAAAGCTGATGCAAAGCTGAAGGTCCCAGGTTTATTGGTAATTGATACCCCTGGGCACGAGTCATTCACTAATTTGCGGTCACGGGGTTCAGGTTTATGTGATATTGCCATTTTGGTTGTTGACATCATGCATGGCTTAGAGCCTCAAACAATAGAGTCACTCAATCTTTTGAAAATGAGGAATACGGAATTCATTGTTGCATTGAACAAGGTGAGCTTTATGGTTAAATCCACCCTCTGGATCCCTACTAGTGTCTTATTGTCAATGTTTAATTAGTTTTTGCTTTTCTTGAATGTCCAATTTTTAGGTGGACAGACTCTATGGGTGGAAAACCTGCCGCAATGCACCAATTGTTAAGGCAATGAAGCAACAAACTAAGGATGTGCAAAATGAGTTCAATATGAGGCTCGTACAGGTCCTGTATATTCCAACCTTGTCTTTTTGTGTCACTTTATTTAATTTGACTTTCTTGGTATTAAAAACCTTCAATTCTTGTATGGGTTGCCAGATTATCACTCAATTCAAGGAGCAGGGGTTAAATACTGAATTGTATTATAAGAATAAAGAAATGGGAGAAACATACAGTATTATACCTACAAGTGCCATTAGGTATGGCTTGTGAAATCTGGCCTTGTCTTTCTTCTTAGTCTCCACTTTGAAGGTTATTTTTGTAAGTATCTTTTCTATATGTCCTGAAATTTGGGTTGTGAATATTGCAGTGGTGAAGGGATTCCAGATATGCTATTACTGTTGGTTCAATGGACCCAGAAAACTATGGTTGACAAACTTACTTACAGCAATGAAGTGCAGGTTTGATTTCTTTTGACCTTTTTTCCAGAAATGTAAAGGTTTTTATAACAGTTGAAATGTGAGTAATTTGGTGGGGGTTGATCTTGTGCACCAGTGTACGGTTTTGGAGGTTAAAGTTATTGAAGGCCTTGGGACAACAATTGATGTTGTATTGGTTAATGGTGTGCTTCATGAAGGAGATCAAATAGTTGTTTGCGGCATGCAGGCAAGTATCTAAAACCTTTTTCACAAGACAATTTAGTAAATTGTGACTTATAATTTTTACAAAATATTGTGATTATTTATTTTACAACTGGTGCAGTCAGCATGTGAAGAAGTTTACATGTGATTGCCATTATTGATATCATTTTCTTTTGTCTCTTTTAGGGACCTATTGTTACTTCAATTCGAGCTTTATTGACACCACATCCGATGAAAGAACTTCGTGTGAAGGTGAGTTTTCTTCCATTTCCTTTTACTCGAATTTGCTTTTAGCATTTTGGTGATTTGGTAAGAGAATGAAATCTGTTACTCCCAGTGAATGTCCACTGAAGAATAGGTGGAGCAGCATCAGTATTGCTAAAAATGTTAAACGCACATTAAAGTAGATTTTTACTTTTAAAAAAAAATTATTTTTATCTTTCAAATTTAAATTTAGTTGAAACTTCTTATGAGATTCATTTCTATGGAATGCATCGTCGGGTTCAATCCAACACCTGCTAACACCTGCAAAGTTAATATATATTTACCTATTTGGATGGTGTCCTATGACTACTGGATGATAGATGTTAGCAGCGCCTATTTGTAGGTGCTTAGGTGAGTGTTTTTGCACTGTTTATATTATACAAATGGAAAAAGCAGAAACTGCTGTTGGATTTTATGTTGAAATCGCAAAAGGACGAACAGTAGGAGAAAAAACTGTAAGGTTAAACCATCACATCAATCCTCAAATTTTTGAAAATTTTAGAAATTCTAATGCGCTCTGTTGATGTCAGTGTGTCAATAATTCTTATGCTTCTCTCATGTTAGAACTTAGAACTTAAGATATAACAAGAATTAGCTATTTAACAGCCTATTGAGTGAATATCTGTTCATTTGTTATCAACTGGATTAGCTCCAAAAATTATATTGTTTTCTCATGTCTTGTATGTATGAACCCTTAATGTCTGAGACTAGGCAGTTGTCATCAGATGATGATTTAATGGTTCTTTATTTCAGGGAACTTATCTGCATCATAGTGAAATTAAGGCTGCACAGGGTATCAAGATTACAGCACAGGTAATTTTGGTTGAAATCAAGGCCAATCCAATTCTACTAGTTGTAAACTCCTGTTGTGAGATTTTTTTGATTTTTGATGTTTGTTATCTGCAGGGTCTTGAACATGCTATTGCTGGCACTGCTTTATATGTGGTAGGGCCTCGTGATGACTTGGAAGAGGTGAAGGAAGCAGCTATGGAAGACATGAAGTCAGTCTTGAACAGGATTGACAAGAGTGGTGAGGGAGTTTGTGTACAAGCATCTACTCTAGGCTCCTTGGAAGCATTGCTAGAGTTTTTGAAGACCCCAGAAGTTAATATTCCTGTTAGTGGTATTAGCATAGGCCCCGTACATAAAAAGGACGTCATGAAGGCCAGTGTAATGCTCGAAAAGAAAAAGGAGTATGCCACCATCCTGGCATTTGATGTCAAAGTGACACCAGAGGCCCGGGAAATGGCAGATGATTTAGGTGTGAAGATTTTTATTGCTGATATCATCTATCACTTATTCGATCAATTTAAGGCCTATATTGACAATCTCAAGGAGGAAAAGAAAAAGGAATCTGCTGATGAAGCTGTCTTTCCCTGTGTGCTCAAGATTTTACCCAACTGTGTTTTCAACAAGAAGGATCCAATTGTGTTGGGAGTTGATGTTCTGGAAGGCATTGCGAAGGTACTATTATATACATTGAATTTGTTTCACCTTGTTCTCTTTAGTGGGATATACCGTATGAAATTTAGGTTTATCTTGGCATGACATGTCTATACATTTGGGAAGAGCCCATTGTGTTTATTCTCAGGGTACTGTTTAGCAGTGTTTGGTTAATTTTTTACCATCTTAATTTGTGTCTGTCTCTTTTTATTTCTGTTCTAGATTTTTTTTTCTTTCTATTTTGCTTAGAAACTTGAGCTGAGGCCTCAATGTTGAAAATTGCCCCAAGTAGAAGGAGAGTCTGTAATTTTCCCCGAATGAGTTATTAGAGTTGTTGAATGTTTAAAGTAGGCAGTGGAAACAATCTTGCTGAAAAAGCTCGAGTGTTCCTGTGGAACCTGCCAATGTTTTGCTGGTTCCCCTTTTCATTATTTGGCGCTGCTAAGGATGTAACTCCTGAGCGGGAAAGCCCTTTTATTGCCGACTACTATCTTGGATTAAAGTAGGCAGTGGAAACAATCTTGCTGAAAAAGCTCGAGTGTTCCTGTGGAACCTGCCAATGTTCTGCTGGTTCCCCTTTTCATTATTTGGCGCTGCTAAGGATGTAACTCCTGAGCGGGAAAGCCCTTTTATTGCTGACTATTATCTTGGATTAATTAGTGGAATTTCTCAGAAGGTTTCTCATGCACTTTCACATGCAATATATTTTGTTTAAACAATGTGCACTTAAAAAAACAATTAATTTTCAAAATTCATGAGAATTTTAGTTTGTGTGGTATTCATGCTTTATCGTCTGAAATACCAGACAACTAGTACACATTCTAGATATTGTTACACTGAAAGTTCATCCCCAGATGCTGGTAAATTATATTTGATGTTTCCAGAGCTAGCTCTTTTGGTTTTTCCTAATTTTTTCTCTCCATTTTATTAATACTTGTTCTTGAATCATGTATGATCAAAGTTTGCGAGTTTATTTTTGGTTTAATATGAATAAGTTCCACTCCTTCTCCTTTCAAAGCATGTGTTACATTCCTCAACCCTTCAAAGCATGTGTATTATGTTCCGGGGTGTAGATAGTGCTCAGTGCCTTCACAGGAACTTTTTGAAAGTGTTATTTTATAAGATCAATTAAATGTTTGTTAATTAAATCTGGCTGTCTTTATATTATGTGATCTTTGTGCAGGTTGGGACTCCAATTTGTATTCCACAAAGGGATTTTATTACTATTGGGCGAATTGCATCCATTGAAAATAACCACAAACCTGTTGATATAGCAAAGAAGGGGCTGAAGGTAGCCATTAAGGTATGATAACTTTTGACATTTGTATGTATACTCTCGCCCCCCCCCCTTCTCTCTCTCTCTCACACGTGTCACTAGTGGGAAAAGTTCAATTTTTTAGTTGTTGCTGTTCTTGCCTCGGGTAAATATATGGAGTTGCCGTGTCAAAATTATAGGGCTTTATGACTTCTGTTATGAATAGTGGGTTCTAGATAATAGGTTTTTGTTAGATCAATGCTCTTTTGTTTGAGCAATGACAAAGCAAAGCTATACACTGATTGATACTTTTCGATATTATCATTGGAAGTGTAAGTTCTTTTATTTGATGTATTACAAGTAACTGCTCACATATTTTCCGCACAACTTAAATTTTTCACAGGGTTCAGTAGTCATTTAATATTAGAATCTTAAGTAATTTGAAAATATAGACTCCATGGTCATGGCTCATTGATTGGGGCTGTAGCTCAATGAAAAGGGAAACTCTTGTAAAAGAACTTTGCCTTTTGGAAGCTGTGTATGCCATTTGGAAGGAAAGGCATAAAAGAATTTCTAGGCATCAGTTAAAAACTCCCTATGATCATCAAGCTAGTTATAACTACTGTTTTGAGAGAAGGGGAGGGGGGTTTTGATTCCATTGAGGTTAAGTCCTACTGAAGCACTATTCTGATTTTGCAACTAGTCCTTTGATGCATTAATGGCCTTCGCTTTTACTTTTTTTGTTGGCTTTTCGCATTTGACCCATGCTCATCTTTGCTTTATGGGTGATCTGGTTCCTGTCTGCTTCTGACTTTCCTTGGCATAGTGCTTATCGCAGTCTTTTCTTTGTGTTTTTGCAGATAGTTGGGACAAATTCTGATGAACAGCAAAAGATGTTTGGTAGGCATTTTGAAATTGAAGATGAACTTGTCAGTCATATCTCAAGGAGGTCGATTGATATACTAAAAGCGAATTACCGGGTAAGCTTAAATTTCATGTACAGTTCACTTTTCGGACTATGTCAACTGTGGCTCTTAATTGTAATTTTAAATATTCAGGATGAGCTATCAATTGACGAATGGAAGCTGGTTGTGAAATTGAAGAAACTTTTCGAGATACCATGAGTGAAGCTGATGCGATACCTGAGCAGTTCTTTTATAACAACACTTGTGGGCTTTACTGACTTCAGCGGCAATCAGAGAGAATGGCGAGATTCCTTGTGGAAAGATTTTTGATCTTTAAGCGACACCAATACATTTAGGCATTCAAGTTCAAATGCCATATGTGGAGAGTGGAGAGGGAGCAAAAGTAGTTCCAGCACGCGTTTCCATGAGGTCCTTTTTCCAGAGTCAAAAGCGGGGCCTGTTCTGATTTTTTTATCATGTTAGGTTACACTACGTTGTTTTGTCCTTGTAGTTTGCACCCGTATCTTTTTGGAACTCTAGTCTCTATAGGTTATAATATCCACCTTACAAGTCTGTTGATGGAAAGTGTATTTTAGGTGCACATGAGCTCGCTTTCGAAGAGTAATATAGAAATTTTCATGGCAAACCAGCTTAGTTGTGTCCTCTTCAAAACCCTACTGGGCTGGCAGGTAAACTCGGGAAAGAGCTGAAATTCAACAGCGAAGAAGCTAGCAAAATGGCAAGAAAAGCATCTTATCCCTTGTTTTGCTGATGATAAAATACATATACTTGAAGGAAACCTCAAGAGACATGACTCTTTTATTTTTCATTTTTGCTCTATCGATGGCAAACCGTCTTATGAAAAGTTTTTGGCTGTTTCTATCTTTAGGATGTTATTTTGCTCCTCGTGACCATTTTAGATATAAGAAACGAAAATTAATAATCCAACACGAGGCTAAAACTGGGGTCAACAACCCACAACCAAAGTATAAATGAGAGGAACAAAGGAATTTAGGGGGGATTGTTCGTCTACTAGTCCTTGACACAAGAAACGGAATTTTCCACAACCCTTTCTTGTGTCGAATTAATAATGATTCACATCTGAGATCGCCAAATGTTCGGGAGTTCCTCTATTCAATCCTTTTCCTTCTTCTTGTTGCTGGATACCTCAAATGTTGGAAGATAGGCATAGGATATCCTTTTAGGCGAAAGGCATTGTGTTTTTTCTTCTTATCAGTAGTGGTGCTAATTAGCGAGACCAAGTTGGATTTAAAATTTGCGTAGGGTTTTAATGCATTTGATGTACTAGGCTATATAATGCAACACAATTCTCTCAAATACCAAACAGTAAATTTGAATTTGATGATTGATGCGCCGGCCTTGTTGCCGATGGATTAAAGTGGAAGTCCCAAAGTATTTCAAACGCCGACTCCCCAGTCCAGTACCCTGCAATTGACGACTATTGAAGACTAGGCCTAGTATCCAGCCCCGATTACAAACAGATTGTTTCCTATTTTTCTTCTTTATTATTTTCCTATTTTTCTTGATGGCATATCTAGTTAAAAAGTATTTGATTTATACATTTTGGACTGGAAAAAGGAATCGATTAACATCCATGCCGTGCTTATAAAAAAACTCCACATCCATCACGCCACTTCTCTAAATATAAGTACTATAATAGCCATTGCTCTCCATATTTCCTTTGTAAAAGATGTCGTACTCATCAACTTCCTGGAAATAATTTATATTGTTCAAAACGACAAGTTATATATGGGATATAGCAAGTATTTAAACTCAAAACAGGCTGCTATTATGTTTAGGTTTTTGGAAGTAGAATTTTTCACTTACGTTTGATTAAGGTTGAATATTTCATTTTTAGTCATTTTATACTAAGCTAATTAGTAATTCAATAAATAGTTTGTTAGTAGGGCGTACTCAAAGACGGATCCAAGAATTTTACTTTTAAGGGTTTAAATATGGCACTTTAAAAATAAAAATTAAAAATATTGACGAGGACTCGAGATAATTCCGACACCCTCTATATTTATTTCATTGGTAACAATTAACCCACTGAAATAAATTTTTTGTAAAAATGACGAAAAAAGAAAAGCCCAACCCTTTCCCGACATAGCATTGTTCTCGAAGTTGTTGCCCAAATGCAATTAGAAAGGAAATCTAATTCGAAACTCATCGAAACAAAGTTTTTGTCGACTGGATCGTCATCCACGCACTTGAGAGCTCCGCCGCTCCCTTTCGAGATTTGGTCTCGCTTCCCAAATGTTGAAGGTTGGCTGAGACTCACTGACTCACTGAGATGCTGAAGATGATGATGCGGAATATAGCTGCTGCTTCTTTTTATTGCAGCAGTCGGAGATGGAGAGGTATGCCTTGTCTTCACTCTAACTCCACTCTTGTTGTTTTCGACAACAATTACTTTGCTTTCTTTCACTCTCAACCTTCGAAACAAATCAAATCTACAAGAACCCAACTAGACCAGCCAGTGAGGACTCGCCCAAAATCACAAATGTTGAGGATGCTTTCAATGTGTTTGATAGAATGCTCTAAATGCGTCCTCGGCCTTCAGTTGTTCGTTTCAATCAAATATTGGGTCAAGTTGCAAAATTGAAACATTACTCGGCCGTCATCTCCTTGTATAACCAAATGGGTGTGTCGAGAATTGGACATGATGTTTATAACCTAACCATTGTCATTAATTGTTATTGTCATTTGAACCAAATGGGTTTTAGTTTATCTGTCTTGGGAAAATTCTTCAAAGTTGGTCTTGAACCAAATGTCATTACTTTCAACACTTTAATCAGCGGCTATCTTCTCGAGAATAGAGCTGCGGAGGCGGCAGGAATTTTCAACAAAATGATTGCAGGAGATAATTGTCAGCCTAATGTGGTTACTTATGGCACACTAGTAAAGGGCTTTTGCATGAGGGGTAACAACCGTGCAGCTATTCAATTGCTTAGGAAGATGGAGGAAGGGGTTTGCAAGCCTGACCTAGTTGTCTATAACACAATCATCGACAGTCTTTGTAAGGATACACTAGTTGATGATGCATTAAACCTCTTCTCAGAAATGATGTGCAAGGGTATTGCCCCAAATGTCATTACATATACATCCTTGATTCATGGAGTTTGCAAATTAGGCGAGTGGAAAGAAGCTACAAGGTTGTTGAATGAAATAGTGAGTAAAAATATATTTCCAAATGTGTTCACGTTCAGCGTCTTGGTAGACACACTTTGTAAGGAGGGAATGGTTGTAGAAGCAGAAGGTGTGGTTGAGATGATGATTCAAAGAGATATTGATCCTAATGCAGTTACGTACACTTCACTCGTGGATGGTTACTGTTTGCGAGGAGAAATAGGCAAGGCACAAAATGTTTTTGAACTAATGCTTAGCAAGGGCTCGATGGTTAACGTTGTTAGTTACAACACGTTGATAAATGGATATTGTAAGCTTAAAAAAATAGATGAGGCCATGATGCTTTTTCTGGATATGTCTCATAAGGGACTAGTTGCAAATACCTTTACCTATAACACTCTTTTGGATGGTTTTGGCAAAGCAGGTCGAATACAGGATGCACAAAAGTTGTTCTCTGAGATGCAAGCTTGTGGCCAACTTCCAAATGTTCGAACTTATTCTATTTTACTGGATGGCCTGTGTAAAAACCAACAACTTTCTAGGGCAATGCAATTGTTTGGAGAGATAGAAGCAAAGAAGTTGGATATTAATATTGTGATTTACAATATTCTTATTGAAGGTTTGTGCATAGCTGGAAAAATTGAATCTGCAAGGGATCTCTTTTGTGGTTTATCATCAAAAGGACTTCGACCTGATGTGAGGACATACGATATAATGATTAATGGACTCTGTATCGCGGGCCTAACAAGTGAAGCAGAAAAGTTTCTTATCCAAATGGAAGAGAAAGGCTGTCCTCCTGATGGTTGCACCTATAACACAATTATCCGAGGGTTCATCCATAATAAACAGACATCAATGGCGATGGTACTTATTCAAACAATGGTAGAGAAGGGTTTTTCTGCAGATGCATCAACAACGGAGTTGATAGTGAATTTACTGTCGAAGGATTGCCTTTGATAAAAAAATCACTGTGAAATTAATATGCATTTGTGGACAATGAAATTTGGAACTGCTGCACCTTCAACGAGAATTAATACCAGAAATTAAGGATGCAAGTGAGAAGGCATTTTCACCTCCTGCCACACGCACAACCACTGTAATTTTCCCTTTCTCTATGATGATTTATTTACTTTGTATTCCTATCACTTAGCATCTTGCAGTATATAGAAGGCCAAATATATAAATTTTAGGTGTGCCTTCTCACGACTCTCCTAGCTTGAAATGTTTCTACAGATAATTGTCTACTGTTTCGGGTATCAGAAACCTTGACAAAACATAGACCATTATAGGTTAAGTCAATTGACATTGACTTCAAAATTAGTTATCTACAGAGGATCTTTAAAATCAAAGGTTGGTTTGTCTCTCTTCCCACATAATGTATAATATATATACTAATGGCTTCTAGTTTGAGGATGAAATAATGAGCCTAAACTTTGGCAATTCATTGATGTTCTGGAGAGGAGTGTGTTATTTTGGGATAGTTCCTTGATTGAACTTGTGTTGAGTACCCATCTTTATGTTAACTAAACTAATTTTCCAAGTTAAAACTCTTTTGTTTCTTGTCTGGTTCATATATACCAGTCAAACTCTTTAGATGGCTTGCTTGGTTAGAAGTTGGAACTAGTTAGCCATGATGGAAAATACTTGCCCCAATTCCAGGATTGGGATTGGAAGGGAAGGGAGAAATTTTACGAAGTGATTTTTGAATGTAGTGAACTATATATTTTCTATAAAAAGGAAAATGACATGCATTAATTTGCAGCTAGTTTATGTTTTCTTTTCATATTTCCACCCATGCAGTAAGTAAAACTCATGTGTGTTTGTAAAGGCCTATATTTGTACAATTTGTGTAATTTTGGCATTGGTTTAGGACAACTGTCATTTATTGAGTTTGATGGTGCAGTTGCAGTTATTGTGATTGAGTTTAAATGAAATAATAAAATTTGACGGCATTTAATAATAGTTTTGTAATTTTGAGGTATTTTTATTGTAAAATTACATCGTATTTTTTAGGCATTGGCCTTATGTAAATTAGGTAAAATTCATAATATGAAAAATAATTTTACAATCACGTGTAAAAGCTCACATATTTTTTTCAGACAAAAAGACCCTTGAAAAATAAATCGATAGTATTAGCATTCATAATTCATACAAACTACAATAATCTACAATGATTTTTCATATTATGAAAACATCGTATTATGTTTTGATTATCAATACAAGCAAAATCATATTTCTCAATATAAACAACCAAGCTAACACTATCATTGATATCTCATTTGGTTCCACGCGGCGAAGCCTAAGCCTCAAGACATTGAGACGTAAGCCTTTTTGACAAATTATTTTAATTAAGAAAATATAAAACAACTAAAAAGCACTTTTATTTATTTATACAATATATATATATATATATATATATATTGTGGTTAGAAATAAATCACCTCAGAAGTGACAAGGTTCCAAACATTAAAATACAGGCTAAGTGCAGTGATTCTATCGGATGAATGAAAAGATGGTAGGGATTATATGGAATTTAATCAGAAGGCAGAGTTTTGGTCAAATATGGGATTTTACAAACCAAACGGTAGTGTCTTTATTGTATGAGCCAAACTACACGAAACACATCGTTTCATTAAAAAAAACCCCACACATCTCAATCCGACGTTGTTCAAGGAAAACAAAAGCTGAGTCAGGGTTGGGTCTTCTTCTTCGCGAGGAATTAGTCATTGACGGTGCCGAACAGAGCTTACATCGCATGGCAACCATAGCTGCTGCGCCTGTTGCAGGGGTCAACAAATTTCGCTCAAGTGTCGAATTCCGGCGTTATGGGGGTCAATTGACCACTTTTGCTCCAACGTGAGTCCGTTCCTAAGTGTACTCAGTTAATTTTAGGGTTAATATAGCAGCACTCGTAAAAAATTCAATGATATTAATGATATTGTATGTCAAGTGATGATAAAAAAGGACTCGAGTTACCCATATAACAATTACCATCCTACATATATGGAGGTGGCATGTTTTTCCAAATCGTTCCCAAATTTCCTACATAATCCATCAAAACAAAAGACTCGAGGCTTTCCCATACTGCAATAATGCAATTGGTGCTTTTTTGGTTATAGTCGAGTCATTACCTTTTCCCTACCCACTACGTCATATATATATATATCGTCATTATCAAAACTTTTGTGTTGTTGGCGACACTATGTGCCGGATATCGTGATGATTATTTGTCCCATTGATTGAGACAAGTGGATATGGAAGAAGACGAAGAGAAATTTACAAAGTTTATAGATGTGTCCTTGCAGTCTGTGTACTGGTAAGTTACAAAGTTTGCAGATGTGTCTCCGATTTGAGTCAGAGGCATATCCCCTAAAATTTTCTAACAAAAACAACATGAAATAATAAAAAATACGAACATTCACCCTTCATCTGAGGGACATGATGATTGATAAAAATTTAAAGTTTTTGTTTTTGTTTTTTAAACACATTGAGTATGACAAAATTAAAAAGTTGGGTAACTTTATTGGTCAAAATTTTTAAAGGGGAGCTTAGTGGGCAAACTTGCACTTCCTTAAAAGTAAGGCTACATACATTTTTATTTATTTAACAATTTGTATATATCCATAAATTTTGAACTCACAACCTCCACAACATGTTAAATATATTATTTGAGTTTAATGTTATTTCTCTTTCTAAAATTGGAACTCATAATAACAACCTCCAACATATTAAATATATGACATTTTTTTAGTACTATTTTTCTTTCAAATGTTTTTTTTATAAATACAAAATGATAGTCTAAACTATAAAGAGGCCAACAGAATTTAGCTCGGTGGCAAAGGGAACGGAATCTGCTGTCCCCATTTTCCATGCCCATTCGTGTCACTTGCATAATTTTTGGACACGTGCCTATACTTTACCCCAATATAACATCAATCTGACCGACGACATTTGCCTCTCCCTCCTCTTCGCCAGCCAACCTCATCCCCTCCTCCTTCCCTATGTCAAGCTTGTTGGAGTTGATGATAGAGCACTTGAACACCGATGCCATTAAAGAAATCACAAAGATCGGACTTGTCATCTCAACTTTGCACCTAACCCTTCCACCTTCTCTAAAGTCTGAAAAATTCACCACTTTTTCCTTTGATATTTTGCGTGGAATTGGAGAAATTGGATTTGATGACATAATTTTCACCGTTGATCTCAATCTAATTTTCCTCTACCCTAATTAATTATTGATTATATAATTATGTATGAGAGATAAAAAATTTCTAAACTCTTAAACCGGAATTCATGGCCACGTGAAGGAGGGAAGCCAGGTACAACTTTTCTTCAAAGAGTGATGGCTTTGTGAAGGTTTAAATGTGGAAGATCAACCCACAAATTGCTTTCATAAGGATTGCAATATCCTGACATTTTCCCCAAGCCTTCCAAAATGTGAGACCTGTGAGGTTGCCATAGACAGGAGATTGAGAGAGACTCTTGAGAGGGCTGCTCTGCAGTGAGGAGGACAAAGGGTTGTGGCGGGTGAGGTGGTTGGACACTGGTGGCTGTTTGGTTATATTTATTCTTTTAATGTTTAGTTTTTATTTTTCTAATTTATTCAAGCTAACAGTGTTATATTAGGGTTAAGTTGTTGGACACGTGTCAAAAAATTATACAAGGGATACGAAGGGACATGGAAAATGGAGACAGCGAATCTCATCCAGTGAAAAAGCGTCTTAACTTGTAAACTAGTGATTTCAGGTTGCAAACCTTGATTTGATTTGATAGTGTGTATTAGAATAAGTTCTTTGTTGATTAAATTAAAGAGGCCCCGGGAAATCCCACTTACATTCCTCAAAATAAAAGATATGATCAGTTACGTGCGTGATCTTTAGTACTTTTATTCCCCAATAATACTATGCGTTTCCCTTCTTTTAAGACTCAACTTACACCAAGAAAATTAGCAAAACTCACTCCCTATACACATCTTGTCATCTTTCATTACACAAGAACCAAAAGTAGAAAAAAGGGAACATAAAAAGATGAAACATCTAATAACACACAGTTACAATGGATGTGAGATCAAGGAGTTTCACAGCCCACTAGAGCCAATCAACTTGGTTAACCCAAAGGTTATAGCCATGGCCATCCATCCTCCACCAAAACCCTCATCATTGATCTCATAATTGGTGCCTTCCCCAATTTTGCCCCCAGCCACCCAAACAACACCAAAGCCAAGCTCACAGCTGCAGCCACAACTCCTAACCTCACCTTATACTCCCTTATGAACGAAGCTGCTAGCAATGGGACCATTGCCCCTACTGAAAACGCAAGAGCTGAAGCAGCCGCAGCTTGCAACGGGTTGGGCAGGCTCTCCTTTTCGTTGTCTCCCTCGCTATCACCATCTTCCGCCACGTGTTCCAGAGTCTTTTGCTTGTTCTTATTGTCCCTTTTCATTTGAGCCACCTCTATGTCCAACTGGGAGTACACAGAGACAAACTCTCCAATGGCCATGCTGCATGCCCCGGCTACTAGTCCGGCGAACCCAGTTAGGATCATGGCCTTGATGTCTTCCTTGACAGCTCCCACGCCCATCATCAACGACGCCGTTGAGATTAGGCCATCATTGGCGCCTAGGACGGCGGCGCGAAGCCACTGGGAGCGTTTTGAGTAGTCGAACTCGTTTTGATCTAGGGTTTGTTGGTGTTCTAGGTCGTTTGTGGTGATTGGGATGGCATACTTGCCTTCGTTAAGGGATGTTTGGCTGTTTGGCGCCATGGAAAAATGAATGAGAAAAGTGGATAATGGGGAAGGATAAAGGATTATGGGTATGCTGTTGTGAAATGAGGGAGAGAGAGATTTGAGAAGTGTGGAGGACACACGCACTCAAGTAAGGTATTTATGGTGGAAAAGGTTCAATTATGGGGGAGGCAAAGGTGGGGGATAGCCACTAATGGGAAAAAAAGCAAAGAACAAGTGTGTTTATTTTTGCTTCCTTTAAAAAAATAATATTTTAAAAATAATTAGTTAATTTGACTAAATGCCTTGGTGGTCAAATGGCTGAGACCTGCGTCGTAGTTTGGTAGAAAGTGGAATTCATATGATATGTCCACTAATTCAGTACGGAAGTGAAACCCTATTAGCATGAATTTAACTGAGATATCATCTGAGAAAGATGAAATAAATAGAAGCGAAAACTAATTCTAAAATAAAAAGGGTGAAAGCAGAAATCATTAATTTAAGTTTTTGATTTACAACTGGGAATAAAACTTTTAGAAAGATATAATTTTAAAAGCAGATACCCTTAATACCTTGTTCTCTAATAAAAGCGATCCACGACAATGCTCAAAGTTTTAGCGATGCAAATCCTACTAGGTGTTGACCTCAAATGTATGAATGCTCAATATCTTCAGAGGATAAAAAGAAAAAAAAGTAGCACCTAAAAAGAAAAAGAAAAAGAAAAAAGAACGATATTGTAATATAGATAGATTTAATATAGCTGATAAAACTATTGAGGGCCGAATAAAGTTGAGCTGAGATTGCTGGTGGATCTCGACCAGCTTTGCTTTGAGCCAATTGTTCCATAAGCTTCTAATATTTGAAATTAAGAAGAAAATTAAAGATGCAGATGTGGGTTAGGCTAGTTAATCATGATATTGAGTCCGTCTTTTTGTACTCATGTTCAAATTTCCCTCTTTGTAGATTAATTTAGATAATCGCTTGTATCAAAATAAAGAAAATAAAGAAGAAATTCATGATCGGAAATTAGAACAAACAGACGAATGCGATCAGAGGAATAAAACTGATAAGCAAGAAGAATAATAGAAGGAATACAAACAACTTTATGATCACAAGATTAAGAGGAAACGACATATACTTTTAAGCAGTTACACCTGTAAAAGTAAAAATAAACCGAGTTCATGAGCAAAGCGTGACTATGGAACCAGACAAAAGCTGGAAAGACAAACCCTTATGCAATCTTTCGTACATGGTTATCAAAACGGATGCAATAATTCAAGGCTTTCCCTTCCCTTTATGTCTTTTTCTAACTCTTTCGGTTATGGTCTTCTTATTATATAGTTTATATTTTGGTATATTAGCTGAAAGAATCAAGTGGACGTGGTTTCTATGACTTGGTTTGCCAGAAGCATCCTACATATAAAATGTAATTGACCCAATTTCCTGTGGATTCTAAACTACTTCCTGATCCCATAGACATCAAATCATTGGGATTTGTACATGTTAGCTCATACACATGTGCGGCAGTTAACCCAAATTTGTGCCAACCAAAACGAAAGAAGTTCCAATCTGTTCATAAATAGTAAAAACATTATATAGTATAAGCACACGTAATGAAACAAATGTTAATCAAAGAGTAAATAGATTGAATGTTATGCTATCAGATTGTCGGTTTCATATGACTTATATGATAATCAAGAGTGTCCATTAGTAAAAGAGTTCAATATAAGGCTTTGCCAAATTAATCGAAATCCTCGATTATCGTAGTAGAAGTTCAACAAAATTTCGTCGATGCCAATATATCAAGAGTCACCAAATCTGCCCAAGAAAGATGTGTTAGTACGCATGTTAGTATGTGATAATGGCAGTGGGGTATAACTCAATTGGTTGAGTTTTTCTACCTCCACTCATGTGGGCAGAGATTCGAACCCTAGGCACCCAATGATATTTGTGTAAATCCTCTTCCCATGTCAGCAGTATATTCATTAGCTGCTTTGTAATATTCTTTTACACCACCATTTGATTAATCAATTCCTATCATATGTACGCCACAGAACACCAACTTATACTAAGTATGATTGCTGAAGAACCTACTAAAAAAAAGTTGAGCAATGGATTGCTGAAGAAGAAAGCACTGAGTGTCGATAAAGAAAGAGTGGGGATTGGATAATATAAGAAAATGGAAGGGAGTGTGCATTCCATACGAATGCCACCACCACCTTGATTTTAAATTGAGTCAAAGAAAACGAATTAGGGTTCTTTATCTTCTCTCGTCCTTTCTTTTCAGCGTCCCACAATCCCACTCAATTGGCTTTTTAATGGCCCTCTTTGGGGCAATAAATGACTTTTGTTTTGTGTACAGCCAACGTACCAAAGAAGCTTTTTTGAATGCCTGTGTTTTAATTCTTTTAGTGGACCATCCAATTGTTTTCTCTACTTGAAGCCAAAATCTCTCCCTGATCATGGCCAAGCAACAACTTTGGATATTAGGTAGCAAAAAAAGTATATTTAAATCATTATCCCAAACAATGGGTGAATGATATCAATCTAAATCTTTCTTTTTTGGTTATATATAACATATATACCCATAGAATACGCTCTTTCTACCACATTATTTCCGAAATCAAACTCTTGTTGTGAAACTATGGATTTAATCTCGTCATGAAATCACAGATTTAATTATTATGTATTCATTAAGTTATGCTTGACTTTTACTTTTACCATGTCTTCTCATTTATAAATCATGCACGTAGATTTTCCCTTCGGTCTTCTTTTCCCTTTTAGCATCAAAGAACCAAACTCTTTTTTCTCTCAAAACCAAAGCACCTCTTCTCCGTTCAATCACTCTTCTTCTCCAAACTTATATTTTGTGCATCTCTTTTCATCTTGTTAAAAGATAAAAGATTACAAAATAAAACAAGACTGTGTATAGTTACTCATATACTTTTTTTGCATGGAATGGAAAATAGTGAAAAATGGGATTCAGCTCATACGAAGTCTTTCATTTTCGTTTCACTGTTTAGGTTATACTTAAAAAAGAAAGTCCTTTCCTTTGGGTGGTCGATTGTAGCAACATTATCGTAGCATTAGTGTTTCATGCGGTGGCCCACTTTGATCTGGAGCTGCATGTAGAACAAGCAATGGTAACATTGAGCTAGTAGCATATGCAATATGTTGGACAAAAATAAAACCAACCTAATTCCTTTCACGTCTTTCTGTTGCCCCCAAATTCACCACTGTGTGAGAGTTTGCTGGGATGGGACTGCATTGCCTCCACAATATAATATGGACACTACTGGTCATGGTGTGTGTGATGTTTTTGTGGGTTAGGCCTGTCATATCCATATCGAGTTCAATTGGATTATAGTGGAATACACCTTGAATTCAACAAGGGGATCAACTTCCAAAAAGGAGTTAGACAGTTTAACACACTTTTGTGTGTGCACGAGAGCTCATGTCTTCTTTTTTCAGCCCAAATCACAAAAAAATACAAAAGAAAAGTACATGCATCTCGTTACCAAAGGTAGATAATTTTAGGGCAGTTTAGAAGACACTTGTGCTCATATAAGTGATTTTTGTAGGAGTGCTTGTATTATAAGGCTCGTGTGGGAGTAATTTTAGTTCTAGATAGGTCAACAATCATTTTAAGTGGTTTTAATTGATTTTATAGAGAAGCGCCTAGGAGGTGTTTTTCCCCGTAATCGTTTAAATCCACTTAAAGTGATTATATGGAGATGCATGTTGGAGTTGCTTCTCCCCACAAGTGATTGTCGCCCTCTAAAAATCACTCATAAACAAGCCCTTAAACGGATATAAGGTAAAATGATTCTCCATAGCAGTGATTATTGGTCTCTCCACAATCGCTCCCCCAACAAGCCCTAAGTACGTTGAAATATTTATAAAAAATCCAAGTGTTTATTGGAAAGGGACTTGGAAGTGATTTCTAAAAGAACACCTCTAGAAAACGCTTTTATGTCCACAAAAACGCTTCTAAACTAGTATGCCAAACGCTTTTAGAAGTAGTACCAAATCAAAACTTGAATTTACTATTCCTTCGAGTACAAACTGCAATGGCCTTTCCAGCACAATTAAGAAAAAAGCCTTGTAAATATGAATGTGGAGATGAGCCCAAACTAACTTATGATGATGGGTTTCAATTAGTAGAATTCTATAACAAGGGCTTTATCCTAAGGTCCTCATGATATCATTTCTTAGTCGTTTTTCAATTGTTCTTGGATAGTTCTAGTTTTTTTTTTTTTTTTTTTTTTTTTTTTTTTTTTTTTTTTTTTTTTTTGATTTGATAATGCCCTCATTTAAGGTCCTTATATAATGCCCTCACTATAGAATGACTCGTTTCAAACAACTTTGATTCTCGATTTGGGCTTCTTTTGTTTTGGAGTGTTTGAAATAGTTGTGCCATATCCCGTGGTCCTCCTCAAAGCCTCAAAACTGCATGGTGTACCAAATGGAGCTGAATGTTCTTTTATCCAGTGACCTTTAAGATATTTTCCAACTAAGGGAAGACCTAAGTGTCACTAGTCATTAACAATGAAACTAGAAATATTTCATGTCTACGTTACTTGAAAGGCCAATATATTGTTAAAATGTAAGCGCAAAATAGAGGGCCTTCCCACAAAAATATAGGAAAAAAGAATTATAGCCTTGAATTTTCTTTCTACTCCACCAAACCTTTGAAGAAAAAAAAAAAAAAAAAAAAATGTGTAGTTTAGTTCAGTAATCTGAAATGTCTATTTTTGTATTTTCCATTTAGAAAGGGAGATGTTATTAGCAGTTTTTTGTTGTTGGATATTATGCACTCCTCTTTTTTAATTAAAAAATAAATATAAAGGAGTGCAAGATCACTATTTTGAAGTGCTAATATCAATTCCCTTCAGAAATCATCCCTAAAAAAGTCAGCTCACTGAAAGTATTTAACTATTTTATCATTATCATGGTCTACTTGTTTGATTCTAGTTAGTTGTCCAAATGGGATCCCGAGCTTCTGCATGTAGAGATTATGCCGTTGAACTGTATGTAAGAATATGCTGTCAAAGATGGCATGAAAACTGAAGTACGTAGGGACCACATACGTTGAAAAAAAGGCATTCAAGGCCAATTTATCTATATATTATACAGAGTCCAGTCCTTTCCGTGTAGTCCTAATTAATCACTAATGTCCTTGTTACGTTGCTCTCGCCACCATTTCCAGTCAAAAACTCAAACATTAAAGAATCAAATAGCACTTTGAAGTTTTTGCAAGACTTTGAATTTTTGACATGCGAAAGCATAATCTATACATATATGCATATATCACAGGACAATTATCCGAGAACTTCTCTGGTAACCATGTTCCAGTGGCATTTGGGAAGTGGAAGGGCTTGCAATTTATACATTATAGGGTTTACCTGCCAAGAAATTACTCAATTAATTAAGATTTTATGTCAACATTTCCAGTAGCTTGTGGAGGTAGACATCTTTATTTATCCTCTATGGCAGCCATGAGTTTTACACGATATCACATATCTTTTCTTATGTTGTTTCTTGGTAGTTTGGTCATCACATTAATGTGTGTGTGTGTGTATATATATGTATGTATACAAGCCTCTAAGCAATCTATAACAAATATGGCAGTTCCACAAAGAACAAGCATGCTAGTTGAGCTTCATCACTCAAAGCAATTTTGCTTCTTTTTAATTCTAGTATTCTCTAGCACCATATCTACGAACGATGCGTGCAACCAAACTGAACGCAGCTCTCTCCTGTCCTTGGCTCTCAATCTGTCTTCTCCTTCTTTAAATTGGAATTCTGATAATTGTTGCTCTTGGGAAGGCATCACTTGTAAAGATGGCTGGGTAACCCAATTGCTCTTACCCTCCAAAGGGCTCAAAGGAGGTGAGTTTCCCTTTTCCCTTGGTTCTCTCACACATCTCACCCACCTCAATCTCTCACACAACTCACTTTATGGTTCACTTGAAATCAGATTTCTCTTGTCGTTGAATCACCTTGAAATCCTTGATTTGAGTTATAACCTTCTTTCTGGAGAGCTTCCATTTTCTCTACCATCTAGTAGTAATATCCACGTTGTGGATTTGTCAAGCAATCGCTTCCACGGGGCAATCCCATCTTCCTTCTTCCAACATGCTTGGAACTTGACTAGTTTCAATGTCAGCAACAATACCTTCACCTGATTTATCCCATCCTCTATCTGTCTTCATTCTTCCCCCTTCATTAGAGTACTAGATTTTTCCTTGAATAAATTTAGTGGCAAAATTTCTCTCGGACTAGGGGAATGTTCCAAACTACAGGTTTTTCGTGCTAGTTACAATAATCTCTCTGGAGAACTTCCGGATGATATCTATAATGCAATAACACTTGCAATAACACTTCAAGAAATTGCTTTACCAATGAATTCGCTTAACGGACCCGTTAGCCATAGAATTGTCAATTTCACCAACCTTGCAATCCTCGACCTCTACCATAATAACTTGATTGGCAAGCTACCTAAAAATACTGGGAAACTCTCCACACTAAAACTCATGCTCCTTCATTTCAACAATCTAGAAGGTTCTCTGCACCCATCTTTGATGAACTGCACAAGCCTTATAGAACTGAATCTGGGATTCAACAACTTCGAAGGAGAAATCTCCACCCTAAATTTCTCCAAACTTAGTCAACTTAGTAAACTTGACCTAGGAAGTATTTCTTCCGTGGTCACTTGCCAATAAGCCTTTACTCAAGCAAGTCCCTGAAAGCAATTAGGCTAAGCTCCAACTATCTAGAGGGTCAAATACAACCTGAGATTCTTTTTATTAAAATCCTTGTCCTACCTTTCGCTTGGTGCCAATGTACTGACCAATGTCACAGGTGCAATGAAGATATTAATGGGTTCCAAGAGTCTTGCGACCCTCCTTCTTCCGTACAATTTTATAGGTGAGGAAATGCCCACTGATGAAGACATGGTTGGTTTTGACGGATTCGAAAATCTTCGAATTTTAGCTTTGGGTGATTGTGATCTCACAGGTCAAATACCTATGTGGTTATATAAGCTCAAAAAGCTAGAGATCTTGGACATGCCTTTTAATAGAATCACAGGCTCAATCCCTAGTTGGTTGGGAACTCTTCCAAGGCTCTTTTATATAAACTTTGACTCCAACCTAATTTCTGGTGAATTTCCAAAGGAGCTATGCAAACTACCCATGTTGGTATCTGAACAAGCTGCAGCTCAAGTAGACCATAATTTTCTTGAACTGCCTATCTTCATCCAACCTGATGGTGCTCAAGCTTTACAATACACCTATTTGTCTTTCTTGCCGCCATCGATATACCTACACAACAATAGCATCAGTGGCAGCATACCTGTTGAGATTGGTGGACTGCAGCTTCTTCGTGCGTTGGATCTTAGCAACAACTTCTCCGGTGAAATTCTAGTTGGATCTCTCCATGAATCATTTGTCTGGAAAAATCCCAACATCATTGAGAAGTCTTAATTTCTTGTCATTTTTCAATGTCTCCTACAATAATCTTGAAGGACCAATACCGACAAGTACTCAGATACAAGGCTTCAATGCCTCTGCATTTGAGGGGAACCAGAAACTTTGTAGTGCCCCCCTGCCAAATGAATGCCTGGGAACTAGCGGGATTGATGCAGGTAATAAGAACAATCAAGATGCGGACAATGGGCATGAAATCCCATGGTTTTATATTTCCCTTGCGCTTGGATTCATTGTTGGATTTTGGGGAGTTTGTGGTCCTTTAATGTTTAAGAAGATATGGAGACATGCATATTTCCAATTTCTAGACAATGTACAAGACAGGCTCTATGTAATGATCACAGTGTGTGCGACCAGGACGCAAAGAAGGGTTAGGATCTAGATTGTACTTTATCCTTTATGTATTTAAGCTTTCTTCTTTCTTTAATATAAGGAATGTTTTGTTGTTATATTTGTGTATTCAATCTCCTAATTCTTTTCAGCAATCAGGCTATTCTTTATGTTAATAAACAAAAAATAAAAAGAACAATACAAACGATACGATACAGATAAAAACATGGTATAATCTCCTTATACCTTGATACTTACAATATATTTCACAATTGAAGGATATCAGAGCTAGGGGTGCCATTTCTTCACTCTTCCTTGCATCTCCATAAACCTGCGAAACCCTCACAGACTTGTATCTCTCCTAACTGTAATCCATGGCTTACCCCACAAACTTATGCCTCAAAAGCCATTCAGTTTATGACAAAGAAAGACCCAGACAGCAAAATTCCTAAACACCATCTTTAGCTTTATACAAATTCTACCTCCAAGACTACCCTCTTTCTTCTTTCTTCTGTCTTCTATGTAGCACTCCACCTGAACACAAGAGAGCCATCTAGCTCAAACATACAAGCAAAAAACCATCACTCACTCGACCCAAACCAACATTTTGTACCCACTGTACAAAATATCATCACCATTTCCTCCCCATCTGTCCAATAAATGTACATTTGTCTATATCTTTGATTTTTTTGATTACCCTTTCGAGTACCTAACCTAAACTTCAGTCAAGGCAGTACACAGTCCTGATTCACATGATTCACAATGCATGTGAAGAGGAACCTTGATACATTCTCTCCACACATACCAACTTACAACATCATCTACACTCTATCAAACATGCACATGGTTCTAATCTATTTCCGACACGTTAAAATCTACTTCCGATATGTTAAAATCTACTACCAATACATTATAAAAAATCTGCTTCCAATAAGCCATTAAGGCCTCATCAAGAAGTTCACAAAAATCTACCACACTTTTTATTCATTTTTCGAAGACCAATTACCACTAAAAGAAGTATAAGTATGCTTGGAGATAATGAGGAAGTCCTAACACATTCACCTCCTCTCAAAGTACACCCTACAACCTTATTCTTGTACTTCTGACCTCACAAATACTAAACCCTGAAAAACCATGCCCAATTGAATAGGGCTTTGGAACCACTTGTTATAAAATATAAAAAGATTAAGGAGAGGCACATATGCATCCAATATCAAGATCACTAAGGAAATAAAATCTAATGTGGCGAAGTGAAACTCCATCCACATACACAGTCCATAGGCAAAATGGATTATTCACTATCTAAAACCATAAAGAAATAAAAAAAGTACCAGAACATAAACACCAAATTCAATACCAAGCCTCAAACTATCCCCATTTCATTGCTTCCTGATGTCCCAAGCTATAGGACAAATTATGCCCCTTTGCTTCCCAGGAACTAGCCAAAAACCTCACTTGAAACATGAATGTAACAGGTAGTCATCTCATCTAAAAGAAATATATTTAACATATACATACTCTCTCAATGTGGAGGAACAGGGAAACCAAATCTACCATGGAGGAAGACTTGTTTAGCAAACGTTTAGCCTCCCACTACCCTCTCTGGTGATCAATAGTTATATCTTTCTCTTTGTAAAGCAAACACAAATACAACTGGGGTGATTGAAAAAACAAAAACAAAAACCCTTAGCATTTTGATAGCATATATGACAACAAATATATATTTGTTTTACGTTCATAAACTAGCATCAAATAGTCAAAACACTGTGATGCATCAATGTTGCATCCTAAGGTACTTTTAAAAGCATTTTCTCCACGTAAAGCCACAGTAGCCATTGTACATGGAAAATGAAAAGCACAAGAGTTTATTTGACACTACCCAAAAAAAAACAAAAGTACGCATTTCCGACTTCTCAATATTTATCTGCATGCAAACTGTAATATTACACTCAAATGCAATGTACACAAGCATTAGGCTTATACAATTACCTACATTGAAATTGATCCAGAAAGAAGCTCTGGCAAAGTTCTACCCTTCATGTGAACTTGGTGAAGCAAGAAAATCTACAAGTAGCACAAAATTAAGAAATTCAAAATATCGTTGACATATTGCATCTGTAAAGCACCACTCTTACATTCCTGTTTCTGTAAATCAAGAGAGATCATGCATAGATAGAAACCCATTCATGAAAAACAGTCTTACAACTGCAAAACCAAGAGATGCATTGTATACTCTAATCAACATGCATGGGTTCCGAGCCCCCACTTGCATCCTCTATTCCGTGTTTGTGCTCTTTCTCCTCAATCAAACTCTTCTGCTCTTCCTCTATGGTGTTCTGCAGCTCATCCACCTGCAAAAACAACAAATACAACCAAAGTTAAATCTAAAATTTCAAAAGGGTTCTACTGCTTAACGCAGGCAACATAATCGAAAATTGGCGAATTTAACAGAGCTGCATACCACATGCAACAGCAGAGCAAACTGCTTCTTTCGGAGCTCCAGCATCCTTGAACTTGCCGTATTCTCGGCGTCCAAAGCGGCAATCTCTTTCTCCAAATCGGATATCATTTTGAGCGTTTCGGACCGAGGCGGTTGCGTGGCGATCATTTTCCTGATCGCCTCACACTCCTCCTTATGCCTTCTTTCGATTTTACTCTCCTCAAGCTGCTTCTTCAGCAATTCAATGTCGGTCTGCGCCTGCACTATCTGCCGATTTATCTCCTCTCTCAACTCGTCGAAATTGTGCTTCTCTCTGAGATTCGCATCCACAACCGCTTTGCTCTTGAGGAGAGGAATCTCGAAGGTGCTGAGCTCTTGGAGGAAAGCTTTGGCCAGCTTGTCGCAATCACCATAGTTGTCCTCGTTCTTGTCGAGCTCGACGAACAGGGATGTGAACTTCTTCTGGAGCTTCTTCAATGGGGGTTCGCCTCTTGTGGTTGTGGTTCGAGTGAGAAGTCTGTGCTTGATGATTGCGTCATCTTCGAGCGGCCCGAAAGCGTAGTTCGCCGCCACGGCCTCTCCCCGCCCAGAAACCTTTCTTCCTTTTACCAGCATCGAAACAAACGTGGTGATTTTAGTGTCGGATAAATTCGATTTGCAATTCGCCGTCAAACCCCAATTCGAATCCTCAGAAACACAAATCCTAATTCTGTTTGCGAGATCCAACGGTGAAGGATGACGTTTGTTGTGTTTGCTTCAAGGTCTATCGAACGGTAGTGTTTTAGTAGTGTGTTTCAAAGGAAAACACTTCTACACCGACACCGGTTCCAGAATTTTAAGAGTTATGAAAATAAAATAAAATAAATTAAGACCAATAAATAAATAAATAAATAACTCAAACAAATAATGGAAGAGAAAAGGGAGGGCCCTTCAATTGGGATCGACCACGGTAGGGCTCGTCAATGGGCCGGACTTTAAAGAGAAGAGAGAAAATACCGGGCCGGGTTTTTAAAAAAAATTCAAAGCCCAAGCCCGACTCATAGGCCGGGCTTGAGAAAGCCCATTGGGCCGGGCCGGGCCGAAACGGGCCTACTTCATTCGAAAAAAAATCATAAACTTAATCATAAAGGCATTTTAGTCTAAATTTGAGATTAAACTCACTTAATTCCAATATTTTCACATCAAACCAAATTCATAAATATCCAATAAAGCCACACAACTTAATAAGATTTTCCACAAAAATAATAAAACCAAGTATTATTTTTGAGGTTATTACATAATTAGACCGTAATATATTTTAAGAAATAATTTTAAAAAATAATAAGTATCAAAAAGATATTTTTTTTAAAGGATGGTATAAATAAATATGTAAATGTTTGGTGATGTGTTCAAGAAAAACATGATTATATTTGGTGGTACGATTATGTTTCGTGATATGATTATATTTGGTGATATGATATGTTGTTCATCTTATTTATATATATAATTGTTGTATTAATAATTGACACAAATGTGCTAATAATCCAATTATAAACTAGGAATGAGTAAAGAAAAGCAAATGAAATGAAACAAATTATATATGTGATTTAAGTGACATAATCATAATCCTAAACTCTTATTTATACATAATTATATATGTATGCGGGCCTAACGGGCCGGGCTTTTGTGGGCAGGCCGGGCCGGGCTTCAGACACCCAAGCCCAAGCCTAGCCCTGTCCAAGGTGGGCCGGGCCATCTCAAAGCCCATAACGGGCCCGGCCGGGCGGGCCCCCATCGGCCCATGAGCCCGCGGGCCAAATGATGAGTCCTAGTCCACGAGTTAAGGTCTTTGTGGCTTTAGGTAAGGGGATAGTAATTGGGAAATTTTCTTCCACAGGGATAGTCTTTGTGGATTTTTATTTTTTGGGTACAAATATATACTAAGTACGATCACAATTTTGGCCAATTTAAACCCACTGATTGACAATAAGTCTTAAGAAGACAAAAAGAAAACCAAATATGTAAATTATATATATGTAGGAGCATCCTTATATAGTTTTGTCTTTTTTCCATTCAAGCGATATTGGGGGTGGAGGGTTTTCATACACACACTCTCAATGTGTCATGGGGGTTCAAAACTAAGACCATTGGTCAGCAAAATCAAGGCCCTTTCCTTTGGGCTACACCCCGTTGACCATTTTGTCTTATTTAAGAGCATTAATCCATGCATCCAAGGTTCTTAGTTCAACTCCCCTTCTCTCCATATGCTTATATCAAAAGATAAAAATAAAAATATAAACATAATTTCTTTGAATAAGGTTGGTTGATGATATTAAGCTCAAGTTCATGACACCATTAGTTTGGAAGCAAAATTAAATTTGAGAAACTATTTTTGAATTTCATTAAGTCACTATTTGGATGAATGTAACATTTGATGAGCCATTTGAAAGGATTATACAGCACATGTGGAATTTAGCCTAAGTAACAAACCATTTAAGCATAAATAGATGTCTCCCAACCATGTTTAAATGCTTCAGTCGGTAAAATGCGTCCATTAGGCTTCCGGATGACAGAACTCTCCTCCCCCAACAAAATTTGGATATGATTATAAGAAGTAGAAAGACTGTCAAAACTTGTTCTGCTTCCAGAGTGATTGGTACAACAAATCCTGCATATATGCATTTCAATTGAATTTAAATATAACGAATTATTCAATTGCATTTTATTTCAGTGTTAATAAGTGGCCAATAGGAGAAGTATTTTCGTCCAACCTAATAGGATAAAAACTGAAGCGAAACCATGAATTATTTGATAATTATATGATAATATGGGAAGAGTTAGCAATACCAACCTTTCAACACTTCCTTTGAGGCACTGGACAGTTAGTCTTCTTTCATTCTTTTGCAGAGTGATTCTTTGCCAAAGCTACCAATACCGCTTGGTCCTGCCTCATTACAGTGTTCACGTGTTCGCTTAGTGATGGCACCTTGTGCTTTGTTTGATTTCTCAATATCACAATTTGTAACGTCCTCATAAAAAGAATTCTTTCTGTTGGAATATATTATGAAACTGGAACCTTGACGGCCAACCAAACTGGAGCAATTGAAAGAATTAAGAACAATGCAACCGCTCATCCATGGTGGATCTTGCAATATTTTTAAGGAAGAACAATTATGCGTGTTTACCCAAAGACCTAGTCGGCTGTTTGATGGAAGGCTTGGCAATTTTTGAAGCCTTTTGCAATTGTTCAATGTGAACTCACTAAGATTAGAAAGCCCACTGATGCTTGGAAGGCTAACAAAAAGGTTTCCATCAAGATTTAGTACTTTTAAAGAGGACAATAAGCCAATATCTTCAGGTATTGCTCCTTCACAAAGATTGCAGTACTTCAGATTTAGACACGTCAAAAAGCGTAAATCTTTTAAGGAAGCTAACACCAGACTCAAAGGGTCAGGATTCTTTCTTGGAAATAAGCCAAAAGTGTAGAAAGAATGCCATGATCTAGGCGGTTCAATATTTTTCACTGGAACCAGGGAAGATGGGGGATCTCTCATAGAAATTCCACTCATATCAAGCTCCTTCAAACTCGCCATGGGATGTATATTTGATGAAGGCATTTGCTCAACAGCAGTGAAGCTTAAAGAAAGCTTCGAAAAATTCTTCATCTCTCCCACAAATTCTGGACTCTTTTTAACTTTTGAGCACCCAGAAAGATCAAATGTTTCAAGAGATTCCAGTTCTACTTCGCTTGGGAGACTCTTAATGCTTTTACAGTTTTTAAAATTCAGAACTCTTAGTCTTTTGAGAGAGGCAATGGATGGATGAATCTTAACAAGATTAGTACAACCTTCAAAAACCAGCCTCTCAAGATTCTGAGTACCTGTGAAATCTGGGGTCCTTGTCAAGTTCTCGGAGTAACTAAGATCAATAGATTTCAACTTCACCATGTACTGTACAAAACATGCAAATTGTAGATTAATTAACTTCCATGAACCGTACAATTGATTGAGATTGAAAAGCTCTACAAAAGGTCTTACGTACCTTTATTTCATTCCAAAGGTGATCAATTTTGCTATGCTGCAGACGAAGTTCAGCAAGTTCAACAGCTTGAAAACTTGGTGGCAGACATTTGGAGGGATACCAACTCCACTCCAGAAATCTTAAGGAATTGGGAAAATAGTTTGGGCCCAAAGAAAGGTTCAAATTATTAATCTTGAGCAACTTTAGTTTACACATCTTAGTGAATGCTTCAGGATTCCAGTGTGCCGCTTCAAATTTACGCAAGCATAGGACTATGCCTTCAATGGCTTCCGTTCCCTTGCAAATAGGAATAAAAGTAAACTTAATGTCATAATCAAGTCTCTCTTATCATGTTTAATGGAATTATAGTATGTTATCCAAGGCTTTGATATTTTATTTTTTGAATTCTTACCGTATTGTTCGTGAGTACATGGATGATGTCACTGTGAAGCCACAAGCGACTGCGACCACCTGGCTCTTCAAAAGACTCTTGACGAACAATCTCCCATGCCATTTCTTGTATCAAATCATGAACGGACAGACGCTGGTTTGAAAGAGACAAGAGAGATTTCTCAATAAGAACATGTATCACAATACGAGTGCCAACAAAACCACAACTCTCTAGTATTTCAATAACTTCTTCCTTGTCACCAAACTTATGGAAACATGCAACATCAAGAAAAATTTTCTTCTGCATTTCCTCTAGTCCATCATAGCTTATTTTCAAAACTTGAAATTTTTTTCTGTCTGGAGCTTGCTTCAGTTTATCTAGTGCACTCTTCCATTCATCTTGATTTCTTTTGTACAAAAATGACCCCAAAGTTTCAAGAGCTAATGGAAGACCTCCTGCATAGTTTATGAAATTTTTCGACAGTTCTAGATAATCTTCTTTAAGGTTATCTTTTTTAAAGGCCTTCCTACTAAAGAGATAAAGAGCTTCATCATCGGTTAATGGCATGACCTCATATACCTTCTCTATCCCATGTTCGACTAACAAGCGTTGATCTCTAGTTGTAATGATGATTCTACTTCCCGAACAAAAGCAGCCTTTTTCTCTGATCAACATGTCCAGTTGGTCTGATTGATCTACATCATCAAGAATGAGAAGAACCTTTTTATTACATAGACACCTCTTTATCATAGTAAATCCACTATAAGCATCATAAACTGGTATATTTCTTTCCCCCAAGATATTGGAAAGAAGCTGTTTCTGTAAAGGAACTAGACCATGTGTTGCATAAACCTCTCTGACATTTGCAAGAAAGCTGCTACCTTCAAAACTACGAGAAATTCTCTCATAAACTAATCTAGCTAGGGTTGTCTTACCCATTCCGCCCATCCCCCATATCCCCACAAAGCGCACATCATTTGTGCTTGTATCTAAATGCAGATCTATTTCCTTTAGTTTAGTATCAAGTCCGACTAATATCTCTGAGGAATCTAACAATGAAAATGTGGGATACACTTTATCCCACACTTTATCAACAATTTTTGTGATAAGCTCTGTATCATACCTAGAAGTAGAAGGAACAAAAAAAATTATCAGATGAGGTTAATATATCGTAGATAAAGTGCATGGCAAAACTGAAATGCAATATTCAAGAATTGGTCTTATTATCTATGTGTCAGTTGTTGCTTCATGCTTGCTTACCTATAATCCTTTGAATTCCACCCAGCGAGATTAGCAACTTTTTTAAAAGCATTTCTCCACTCAAGCACCTCCTCTCTGTCTTCACCACAATTCCTTTCATGGTTAACGAGGGCTGTCCCAAAACTCCCCTGTTGATGTCTTACATCAGAGGGATCCACATCGTAAAAGATTGGGAAAATTCTCTCCTTCTCTTTCATGGACTGAACAATATGGGTTAGTTCACGCAAACACCAACTTGATGAAGCGTAGTTTGCTGAAAGAACTATGATTGCAAACTTTGATTGTTCAATCGCAGTCAGAAGCTCCGGATTGATATCTGTCCCTCTTTCAAGATCTGGATCATCCCTGAAAGTTCTGATTCCTCGCCAGTCCAATTGTTTGTATAAATAGTCTGTAAAACCCCTGCGAGTGTCTTCACCCCTGAAACTCAAAAACACTTCGTATTTCCATGGACGAACTGCAGTAGCTGAAGTGAAGGCCCTTTGGCTGCTCAATGCCATTGGGAACTGGTTTCAAGAAATCTTCTCTGAGCACGGGATTGTGGAACTAGAATGATTAGAAAGAAAATCAGCACTGAGAGAGGTTCCAGGAAGCCAAGCAGATAAGTATTAATGTTGATTTTCAATGAATGTTTGTATATTCCATCACGAGGAGATTTACACAGTACACAAATATATAGTGAGATTGAGTAAGGGCAAGAAGCCACAAGACTGTTGTGCACAGCGGAAGCGAATTGCACTAGGTGGACAATATGGAACCGTTGAAACAACAAGACAAATATTTAAATAGCAAAATCCAAGAGACACAAGGTTTTATATTGGTTCGGCCCGTGTGTAGCATGTTGAGAGTGTTTGTCCCACATTGAAATGTTAAGGGACTTAGCCTGGGTTTATAAGGAGTTGGGCTACTCCCCTCATTGCCAATTGGTTTTGGGGTGGAACCTCAACTTCCTTCATAGAGAGAACAAATGTGTCACACCCAAAGACCAGTAGAGAAATGGATTTTTTCTCTCACTGATCAGACAAGGAAATTGTCTTCAAATGTGCAGCTACAACAAAGAGGAGCAGCAACTCCAAAACTCCGTTCAAGTGGTGCACGGCCACACACAAAGGAGAAAGAATATGAATTCTTCTCTCTCACCTATTATTGCCGCACCCTCCAATTGGTTTTAAGGCAAGCTGCCCATACCTTTTATGAACCCATGCATGCTGAAGGAAGCCACGTGATGGCTGGTCACAAAGTCTTCCACATGCTCCGAAAGCCAACCAAAATATTTCTCTTTTCACATGGCCTTGTTTCCTCTTTTTGACAAAAGACCATCATTTCTTGTTTCCTCTTTTTGACAAAAGACCATCATTTCCTCTTCCTTTTAGCTTGCCTACGTGCTACCTTGTATCTCTTTGGTCACTTAATACCCTCTAAGTGCCTCTTGACAATCCCAAGGGTCACAAATCAAAAGAACACAATTAATTCAAACCAAAAATTTGAACCAATTTACAACACAGACAACATGCCTTATCCTTAGTAGTGACTTTTTCCACAAATTAAGCTATGAGGGTCAACACTAATTACAAGGAAACCTTAAATCAAGGAAAATGTGGTAATCACAACTCATCAATTAGGTAGAGTGTTGACTACAACCTAACCTATACAGAAACTAATATATATCTTCTAAAATATCTTCAATACTCCCCCTCAAGTTGGATTAAGTAAATTAATTGATCCAAACTTGACTAGTAACCGTAACTGACTAGAAGAGAGAGCTTTGATGAAGATATTTGCGAGCTGGTCATGACTGCGAATGTAAACACTTTCTATCACCTTGGATTGAACTTGAGCACGAATATAATGACAATCAACTCCAATGTGGTTTGTTCTTTCTTGAAACACAGGATTGGAAGCAGTGTACATGGCCGCTTGATTGTCACAGAAGAGAGACATAGATTGACTCCTGTGAAAACCCAAATCAGAGAGAAGACCTTTTAACCAAATGAGTTCACAAGCAGTTGAAGCCATTGCCCTATACTCAGCTTCGGCACTTGAACGAGCAATTACGTTTTGCTTTTTACTCTTCCATGTGACTAAGTTTCCTCCAACAAATGTACAATAGCCAGTGGTTGATTTTCGATCGAAATAGTATATTCTTCCCAATCCGCGTCGGTGTACCTCATGATTTGAGAGGTATCATTTTTTTTTTCATGAGAATACCTCGACCAACAGACCCCTTGAATAGCCAAGGATTCTTTTGACAACATTCAAAGGAGCCATAGTGGGAGAATGCATGAATTGACTCATAAGACTGACTGCATCAATAACCGGGAAGGAATTTGGGAATTTCAACTGTACCGTTGTGTAAATCATAGCAAGATGAGTCCGTAGACACGTAGTGGGCTCGAATCGGAGTTGTAACGAAAAAGATACGATCAAAATACCCTCAGTGGCATAACTGTAATTTTTGTGAAAAGGGTTTGATAAAAATATGAAAACCCTCATTTTTCTCTCCACCCCGTGCAGTCTCTCTCTCTCTTTCTCCTCTCTCGCGACGGCAGCGCCAATCGACCACGTTTTGGCTGGCCGTTCCCTCATCCTGCCACCAAAGCTAATGGGGCCGGTACCAAAATGACTAGGCCACCGTCCTCTTCCAACCCCAGCCAAGCCCTACCGCCTGCCGCAGTGATTTGGCCGGAAAATCCGAGAAAAGTCGTCGGGTTTTGATAGTTTTCACCGACTTCGTTCTCCGTCGTCCGACCACCGTTTCTGGCAAGTGAGGCATGCTTTCTCACCTATTTTTCATGATCTAGCTGATGGTTGGGCAAGATTTCATTAATTTTGAGCCTAGGTAGCTTGATTTTAAAATTGGATTTTGGCCGGTTTTGGGATCTCGATTCCTGCCACTTCTGGTCACTTTTTGAGATAGGTCCAAGAACAAAAGTGGTTCCAAATAGGGTGTTACAGTTGAGTCATGATTTAGAGTTTTTCCGACGAAAGGTTATCAATTTGGACACTCATGCTCTGCCGGCGCGTGTGGCAGCGCGTAGGCACTGTAGAAAAGAGGCATTGTGTCCCGAGGTGATCTCATGGTCCTCACAAGCACGTAGGCATGCTCGGATTTCAATTTGGATACCGTTTGAGTATCGAACGAATTTCGCCTATTGCATGTTATCCAGGTTCGATAGGTGTGAACCGTTGGATCATCTTGAGTTTAACATATGTTAATCTAGGCATTCCTAGGATCGTGTAGGAATCCACGGATTGTGGATCAGAGCCCCGAATGTTCCGATTTAATAACTTAAAGTTTGTGTTTTATAATAACCGTTCGATCGTGAACGATCCTACCGTTCGATCAGGACCAAACTTGCAGGACGTATATCCTAGACCTTGTGGAACCCTTAGAAACTTCTAGATCGTAAAACGGAGGTCGTGGGCCCTACGGGCCCGATTGACCAAGTTTGGATAGTTTGACCCCTCAGTTGACCATGAGTCTTTCGAGGTAGTTTCACACTTCGAAAAGTAAGTAGGATAACCTTGTAAATGAGTCTTAATTGTTGTTTGAGTTTAAATTGGAAATTGGTTCGATATGGGGTTTCCTTTAAAGGTTGTTGCTTATCGGTAATTAATATTATTTGATTAAATTATGTTGCATTCTACTACAGACTTGTATCGCTAAATTTTGAATATCTCTATTATTATCGTGATATTTGAGACTTATAATTATTCGGAATACGGATTATATATGTTGAGTACCATCCCTCAGATACAACACTTCTCATACGTGGCATTGGATTTTCTGACGTATGGGAAGAATATGTGATTTGATGGTCTCACACGTAGTGTTGGATTTTCCGGCGTATGGTAAGAATATGTGATTTTTATGGTCTCATACGTGGCGTTGGATTTTCCAGCGTATGGGAAGATTATAAAATAACAGGGAGATGAATAAATGTTTGTATACTATATTGGGAAAGTTAGATGTTTGAAAAAGATTATGTTTGGTAGGTTGTGATTTAAAGAAAAGGGAAAGGAATAATTCTAGAATTTACTATTTTGTATTGCTGTAATGGATTTTATGTTATTGGAATCGGGATTTTTGTGTAAGAATTATGTGTGGCTTGATCCCTCACAAGGAGTACGTAGGTAGCCTAGGATCTTATCTAGGTGCAGCCGCAGACTAAAATTTACTTATGTTGTTTTATTGAGTATTGGATTTCACCTTGTCATTGGTCCTAAGACTCGGCTGGAATTGATGTGCGATTGAATAGTTGTTCATACTTCTGTTTGGTTAAGGGAGGGTTGTGTAAATGTGTTCTAGTTAAATGTAACACCCCGACCCCAAATTTATCCCATGTTTTAATTTATTTAAGTGGAATTGAGAATTTACCTGTGGGGTAGGGGTATTTTATTCATTTTCTTATCCGGAAGGGATTTGGGAATTTCGGATGTACCATTGCGTAGAGCACGGCGAGATGAATTCATAGACACGTAGTGGGCTCAAATCGGAGTTGTAACGAGAGAGATACGATCCAAATACCCTCAGTGGCAAAATCGTAAATATTTTGAAATGGGTGTTTGGTTAAAAAGACAGAAAAGCCCTCAGCTCTCACTCTCTCTCTCTCCCGCGCGTCCCTCTCTCTCTCCTCTATTCGCGACGGCTGAAACAGCTGGCCACGTTTTGGCCGACCGTGCTCTCGTCCGGCTACCAAAGTCGACGGGGCCGGTACCAAAATGACCGGGCCGCCGTCCTCTTCCTACCCCGGCCAGGTCCCGCCGCCAGCCGCCGTGATTTCGCCGGAAAACGAGGAGAAAAGCTCCGGTTTTGACAGAAACTTCGCCGGCTTCGTTCTCCGTCGTCCGGCCGCCATTTTTGGCGATCCAGGTATGGAAATCTATCCTTTACTTGTGAAACATTTTCAGTTTTTTTATTTTATTTAAGGATGAAGCGGTTACAATAAGTAGCACATGTAAAAAAACATTGTTCGACTCTCTGTTGCACATGATGAATTAAGTAGGATGATGAGTTGGGTTGTCAATGAGTTTAAGGCTTTTGATAATGTTATTGAATGATGTAACCATATTGGAGGATATATAAGTCGGAGCCTAATTAAACTGGGATTGGGCAGTTTGATGCTCACGCGAATGTAGATCAAACAAGTAGTCATCGAGGATGGATGATGATGGTGACATTGATATTTTTTTGGGAGCTTTAATAATATACCCAAAATAGGAGCTGTAATTATAAAAAAAAACCATACATAAAATGCACTTTAGAAACACATCTAAAAACCATTTACTACATATAAAATTAATATTGAAGTTCCTATAAATTACATATCTGTCATTGATTAACTTAAAACAAGGCCAACACAAAATTCCCAAAAGATCCCAAAACAAGCCCATATTAGATTTTTTTGAAAAAACCCAAACTTCAAATAAAATAAATAAAAAAATTCATGAAAACCAAGGGTCTGTCCCCCACGACCCTTCATTCTCCATCAAACCTCCGCAAACCATATCATAGAAGTACATTGTTAATACCATGTAATAAAAGTACATTGTTAATATCATGTCATAAAAGTGCATTGTTAATACCATGTTATAGAAGTATATTGTTAATACAATTTCATAGAAAAACATTCTTAATACAATTTCATAGAAAAACATTGTAATACCATTTCATACAAAAAATCCAAAAAACCCTGACAAGAGATTCGATATCTTTTGCTGCCACCTCCAATTGTCCATAATTTCACCAGATACAATCGAAAAGGCAAAAGGAAATACCTTTACAAGAAGAAAAAAAAGTACACTGTTAATACTATGTCACAGAAGTACATTGTTAATACTATATCATAGAACTATTTTCCTAGTAAAAATCACATTTTGCATATCATAAACTTCAAGTGCACAGCCATATATAGAGCAAAATATAGAGCGTGCTTTGTTATTGAAAATTTGTTAATACTATGTTATATAAATCAACTCAGTGGCAGGGTATGAACAATATAATAGCTGTTCACTTACTAGAAGTTAACAACTGCTCATACGACTTACAGATAACAAATTGTATACTACAAATCAACTTACTAGCTTGTTGAAATTTACAAAAGTCATATATTAGACCCACAACCACCCAAAAAGCCAAAATTGGCTTGTTGCAAATGCCATATCGAAGTGTTGAGGAAGGTTGACTATTTCTGTTTTACCAGTTACAACTGCCGACTCATTTTGATTAGATTTTAGTATATTCCAGTATTTAAACAGAATTTTGAGACTCTTTGAAACAAATTTAACAAAAAACAAGCATACATGCAACAATGTCCTAGATCTTAATTCTAAGTGAATAAACTATAGTGGTAATAAGGTTAACAGAGAGATACCTCCATCTCAATAAGATTTCCTATCATTCTCTCAGCAGCTTCTGCACCATCGTGCAAAAATTTTACCATGACTTCATCCAGATGCTTTCTCAATATTGGAAACCTTTGCAACTCAGTTACCTCACAAGCGTGGCTTATCTGCAGGCAAAATTTTATCTTCTTGATTACATCTACATCTCATGATTCATGGAAACATACAATTAGAACTCCATAGCATATGCCTTATTACTCACCTTCATTAGTTCATCATAAACAAATCGATGACACTGAAGGCTTGGGTCTAACAGACGAGTAATTTGTCTCCTAACTAAAAATTCAAATGAGACCTAAAACCAATTCAGAAACTTATCAGCCAATGCAGTGTAAAATCAAGCCATTAGTTTCTAATATTTAATACAAGGGAAAATGAAAGACTGCAGCATATGTCATCATCATTCCTCAGGCACAAATAAAGCATTTCTTGCACCAGAAGCATTTTGAATAGCCATTCGAATATCATCATTAGTTAGATCATCATAGGGGTCCACTTCCTACAATTCTTGATAGTTAGCAGCCAATCTGATGGCACACATCTTACAGTGTATCATTACTTCAAAATTTTCTTCAAGAAAGAAATTGCATGGTATTTTGACATTAGACAACTAAGTAAAAGACAACAACTGAGGACGTAGTAATATGTTGCTTCAGATTAAAAGAAAGTAAAAATTTGTACAATTAGCAATGATCATTAAAGGAAATGCACTCTTAATACAACTATAGTACATTTTACCTCCAAACACTTTACAAAAATTGACTGGAGGATGTAGTGGATCTTGGCTCCTCCTGACAATTCTTTAGTTGACATCTCCTGACTTTTCCCATCCACCATGGCAGCAAAAGCTGTTAATTAGTGAAACAGAGACAAAGAAGGAGCAAAGCAACATCAATGAAACCAGCTAAAACTAAAATAACAAGAAACAAGGTAGTATAAACATCTCTCTCTCTCACACACACACACACATATTTGAGAAAAAGGCACTAATACAAAAAATGTCAACTAAGTGATTCTTTAAGGAATATCAGTTATATAGGTAAAAGAAAGATTGACATTCAACAGATATAACAGGAAATCGAAATCTCACCTTCACAATATTGCATTAAAATGTTCAGCAAAATCATGACTAAAGAACAAATCAATTAGTTTCCTTCCATATTGAAACGATCATAAACCACAACATAAAGTTAACATGTTCAAATCTCTAACCTAAGCCATACAAACTAAGTCGTTGAATTTAAAATGTTCACATGCCAAACGCAAACAGAAAACACAACAATTCATACAATAAAACTAGAAAATACTGAAATGAGCAATCAACATAAGAATAAATGGTGAAAATACGTACATCAGAGGCATCACTGATGAGCTCACAGAGAAAGATCTCCTTGCTGCTGTAAAAGGTGTTGATGATCAAACTCAAAAGCTGGTTGCTCTCATGGATCAGGACCTGAGTCCACCTTCTGAGTTGCAAAACGACTTTGCCGAGTTCGGCGTATTCCGCTCTTCAAAGAAGAGCTTCTTCAATGGCGGCCGCAGAGAGGAAGAGGAAGCGGCAGCCCCTTTGGCTATGGAAAAATCATCGTCGTCGGCATCTGCGAACAAGAGATCCGAGTTGAAAATCGGGAACACAGGACGGATATGGCCATTTTGGAATACCTTGTTGGTGGAAATCGGCAATCCGTCGGGGTTGGTGCATGCGAAAGAGAAATCAAGTAGAAATTCAAGTAAATTAAACAAAAATCAAAAGGAAAATAACGAATTGGAGCAGATGGAATAAACCTGCAAAGGAAATGGAGGCATCGGCGGCGAGAACACGTGTGAGGCCACCTACGTAACGGAGATTGTCATCGGTCTTGTGTTGGTCCATGGCTTTGAGATTGTTTGGTTTACTTTGAAGGCATAGAGAGGGAAGAAGGGAGAGAACAGAGGAGAGATGGTGGTTTGAAGCAGGAGAGGGGCTTGAGGCTTCAAACATAAGGGAGGCTTCAAATATCTTCATTACCCTTTTAAATAGTGTAAGGTATATTTATAATTTCATGTCTAGGAATGGGTGTTTCACTAATTTTGTATATTTTAATCTCCAATTGGAACAACAAGAATCCAATTGATCGCCTTTTTATTGTCTCTTGCCTTATCGCTTCTCTAATTGGAATTTTGACTATAGCCTAAATGTGAATTGCCATAGTAGCATGTCCAATGAAACAGGTGATATTTGTGATTTAGGTCTGTTCAGAAGGTTGACTCTATCCCCTCTTTGTTAGAACCAAGTGCAACGATAAAGAACTTTACAGAAACAAAACACGATAACTCACAAATGCAGGGAGAACTACTTAATTAATAAAGGAACCAACACAGCTATATATAATAGCCTTACATCAAACAGGAAGGGAAATAACAACCCACGACTTTACAGTCCTAGAGTCGTGGTACATGACTAAGTCTAAACAGAAAATAACTTGTCCCTTAAAAGTAGGGATTATTATGCATGACTTCAAATCACTACAATCCTAAAAACAAGGAAACCCAAACTCTATCAGCTAGAGAATCCTAATAATTTAACATCCTCCCTTCAACTGAATGCTATCAACATTCAGTTTATCCCTGGATATTCGCAGACACCCATAAGACCACGCATCTTCACGAACACCTCGAGCTTTAGTGGCTTTGTCAGAATGTCTGCAATTTGCTCATGTGTAGAACACTGCACCAATTCAACAACTTCATCTTTGATGAGATTTCGAAGAAAGTGAAAACGCACATCAATATGTTTGCTACGACCATGCATGACTGGATTCTTTGACAGTTTAATGGCTGAGATGTTATCACAGTGAACCACCGTTGGTTTGCATTGACCATGATTAAGCTGCTCCAAGATCCTCCTTAGCCACACAGCTTGGCAAGCACTAGACGCAGCAGCGATGAACTCTGCTTCGGTAGTTGAAAGGGTGACTACTGGCTGTTTCTTTGAAGACCAAGAAACTGCACTTGAACTCAGAATAAAAGCATAACCAGAGGTGCTCTTCCTGTCGTTTTGATCACCAGCGTAGTCGCTATCTGTGTAGCCAACAAGTTCCTTAGTTCCTCCCTTCTTGTAAAACAATCCAAAACTGACTGTACCCTTCACATACCTTAACACTCTCTTTGCTGCTTGCAAATGAGTTTCAGTGGGTCGTTCCATGTATCTACTAATTAAACTTACTACAAACATCAAATCGGGCCGAGTCGCAGTCAAATACATAAGGCTTCCCACGATCTGTTTGTAAAATGTCCCATCAATCCTTACTCCATTTTCATCCCTAGTAAGTTTAATGCCAGGAACTATTGGATTGAGCACTGGATTGCACTGGTACATATTGAATCTCTCCAAAACCTCTTGAGCATACTTCCGTTGACTGATGAATATACCATCCACCCTTTGCGAAACTTCAATTCCAAGAAAATATCTCATCTTACCAAGATCAGTCATGTCAAATTCAACCATCATGGATTTCTTAAAGTGTTCAAACATAGTCTCATCATTACCAGTGAATATAAGATCATCAACATAAAGGCACACAATCAAAAGTTTACCTCCATCTGCCGTTTTTATGAACAAAGTGTGCTCATAAGGGCACTTCTCAAAGCCTTCTCGATCAAAATAGGTCTTTATTCGACTGTACCAAGCTCGGGGAGCTTGTTTAAGTCCGTACAAAGCCTTCTTCAGTCGATATACCTTATATTCCTCTCCCTTTTGTTCATAACCTGGTGGTTGATCCACGAACACTTCTTCATCTATCTTTCCATGGAGAAACGCAGATTTGACGTCTAGCTGGTAGATAATCCAGCTTTTCTGGGCAGCAAGTGAGATGACCATTCGAATGGTATCCAAACGAGCTACTGGTGCAAACACCTCGGCATAATCCACTCCATACCGTTGGCTGTACCCTTTTGCGACGAGCCGAGCCTTGTATTTGTCCACTTCCCCATGTTCATTGAGTTTTGTTTTAAAAACCCATTTTACTCCAATTGTCTTCACTCCAGATGGCAACTCGGTGAGTTCCCATGTATCATTCTTCACAATAGCTTCGATTTCAGCGTCCATGGCATGTCTCCATTTGCTACTCTTCACTGCATCCTCGTATGTCAAAGGGTCACGGTCAGAGAATAAGGCTAGATGAGCCATATCGACATTTTCTTCATCAGAGAGGCCCTGCCCACTTTCATAATCTTGCATCCACCCTGGTGGTCTTCGAACTCGTTCTCCATGAAGAGGACTGCCATCACTTGAAGACTCTCCCCCTTCGAGACTTTGAACAGACCCTATGTTTTCAAGTTCATTTTCTGGAGTGATGTTTGCTGTAGTTTCCTCCCCAAAGCTTGCATTGGTACCTGTATTTTCATTTTCCTCCCATTCCAAATCAGCCAAAATAGTTTCCTTGTGACTGTCATCCCAGTTCCACCTTTGGTTTTCTTCAAAGACCACATCTCGACTCACAATTATTTTTTGAGAAATAGGATCAAATAATCTGTAAGCCTTGGATTCTTCACTTACCCCAAGTAATATGCATTTCAGACTTTTGGCATCAAGCTTTACTCTCTTGCTATCAGGTACATGAACATGGGAGATGCATCCAAAAACCCTAAAGTGATTGACTGAAGGCTTGAACCCACTCCAGGCTTCTTCTGGTGTCTTGCTTTTCACAGCAAGTGTCGGGCTTCTATTCAAGACATGCACTGTCCAATTCACTGCTTCAGGCCAAAAATTCTTTGGGATTTGTTTCTCTGACAGCATGCTGCACACCATATTCATGATAGTGCGATTCTTTCTCTCTGCGACCCCGTTCTGTTGAGGTGTGTATGCAGCTGTTAATTGCCTTTGAATGCCATTCTCATCACAGAAGTGGGTGAACTCTTGTGATGTGAACTCTCCCCCACGATCAGTTCGAAGTCTTTTTATGAATGCGACCAAGCACAGTGAACATTCTGTTGCATGCCATCTCGGTTTCCATGATTAAACCTTTTTCAGGATGATAAATCTTGCACTTTCTGTGTTGCATGAGCACTGTAAGACCCTTCTCTTGCAATTGACCAATGCTTAGTAAATTGTTAGTCAACGCTGGCACAAAGAAAACTTCAGTAATCACCTGCATGATCCCATTTATCTCCATTCGAATGTTGCCCTTCCCTTGCACAGTGAGACTCATATCATTGCCCAGCTTCACTTTTTCTCTGAAATTATTATCAAATTGTAAAAATAACTCTCTTTTCCCACACATGTGATTACTACACCCAGAATCAAGAAACCACAAGTGATCTCTTCCAGCCTGGATGCCATCCACATACGCCATTAAAAGCATCTCTTCACCGGTCTCGGCAAAGTTCACCTTTGTATCTCTTGCTTTTTTGGGACATTCCCATTGAAAATGACCCAACTCATGACAGTTATAACACTCTTAGGTAGATTTATCAAACCTACCCCTACCTCTTCCTCTTCCTCGGAAAGAACCACCACCTCTTCCTCCTGGTTGTCCGTGAGTGATCTGAAGGGCTTGTTCATCCACAGTGTGACGGCTGATCCGTTGTTCATGCACCAAAAGACTGCTTTGAAGCTCATCTATGGATAAAATATCCAAATCATTTGATTCCTCGATCGAGCATACAACATAGTCATACTTAGGAGTCATGGATCTCAAGATCTTCTCGATGATCACCACATCCTCCATCCTTTCACCGTGAATTCTCATCTTATTGGCTATGATGAGAGTTCTTCCAAAGTAGTCATTCACCGATTCCCCAGCTTTCATGTGCAGCACTTCAAACTCCTTGCGAAGAGCTTGGAGTTGTGCACGTTTAACTCGTGTTGTCCCTTGGTACTTCTGCTTCAAAGAATCCCAGATATCCTTTGCTGTGTCTTTTTTTAATATTGTCTCCAAAATGGATCGATCAATGGCTTGGAATAGATAGTTCTTAGTCTTCAGGTCCTTCAACTTTTGATCCTCAATCACCTTCTTCTGTCCATCAGTAAGATCTGTCCCTTCCGCTGCTGCAGAGATCCCAGTTTCTACCAAACTCCAATACTCCTTTGAATGCATAAAATTCTCCATAAGCATGCTCCAGTGATCGTAGTGTCCATCGAATCGTGGGATAGCAGGCTGCACAAAGTTGCTCTCGCTTGTCATGTTATTTCTTCACGTTGATGTCTGTGGTACAAGCTGTTGGTCAGGCCCCGTGATGGAGCTCTGATACCAGATGTTAGAACCAAGTGCAACGACAAAGAACTTTACAGAAACAAAACACGATAACTCACAAATGTAGGGAGAACTACTTAATTAATAAAGGAACCAACACAGCTATATATAATAGCCTTACATCAAACAGGAAGGGAAATAACAACCCACGACTTTACAGTCCTAGAGTCGTGGTACATGACTAAGTCTAAACAGAAAATAACTTGTCCCTTAAGAGTAGGGATTATTATGCATGACTTCAAACCACTACAATCCTAAAAACAAGGAAACCCAAACTCTATCAGCTAGAGAATCCTAATAATTTAACACTCTTCATGGCTGGTGGATGTTTGAGCTCCATTAATGAGATGGCATATTCAGTATGTGCAACTGTTAGGAGTCAGAGCAACAAGTCCAAACATGGAAATGCAACCTCTATTGTTTAATAGTAGAGCTGCGCGACTATACGTTATGAATAGAAATTTTACAAGTATAGCCCCACGGCTATACACGGCTATACTATTTAAATACAATATAAGGAGTCAGAGCAACAAGTCCAAGCATGGAAATGAAACCTCTGTTGACGCGGAAAATAGTGGTAGTACTTGGCGTATGTCCATAGAAAGCACAGCTGATACTCATCAAGCTGATAATCTCTCCTCGGTTGATTTCAATGGAGTTTGGTGAACCTATTACTCTATTATTATTTCGGATGTATCATAATAGATATTATCTAATAATGAAAACAAAGGCATCTGTAGAAGATTTGTTTGACGAGCAAAACAAAAATGATGTAATGTTAAGTAACCTAGTAAGAGGATATCAAAATTTCACATTTCTAATGTCTTGCACATGATAGGAATAAAACATCGTTGTGCACTAGTGAAGAATCATGTGTAGCAGGAGGAGTAGCCAAAACAACTCTTGATGGAAAATAAGGTTCCGTCTGGTAACGTTTTCGGAGAATGAAAACAATAAAACAAATTTGTATTTTCAGGAAATGAAAATGCATCTAGTAGATACTTAGAAATTTTTTTTAGAAAACAAAAACAATGAAAATGTGTTTGGTAGTACAATTGTTTTTCATGTGTATTTTTGCTAATTTCAGTTCTAATTTTTTTTTAAATTCTGATATTTTTAGAGGCTAAAATTATTATAAACAATGAAAATATGTCTGGTAGTAAAAATTGAGAATAATATTATGTGAATTATTTTTCAAGGGTATTTTTGCTCATTTCTGTTTTGAGAAAATATTTTTAAAAATGTATAATTTAACAAATGAAAAATTCTATTGTTTTTTAAAAGATAAAACTATCTTTTATCTCCTTTATTTTTTATTTTTTATTTTCTCCTTTTTCTCCTTTTCTTTCTTTCTTCCTCTTTTCTTCCTCTTTCCTTCCCAGACCCGTTCCTTTTTCTTTCCTTCTTCCTCTCCTCTACTTTCTCTTTTCTTCTTCCTTCCCTCTTTTTCACTCTCACTCCTCCTTCCTTCCATTACATGAATCCCATCAACCCACCGCTCCGGTTCCACTAATTAATGGTTGTGGTGGTTAGATTGGGTGGTGATGGTGGTTGAGCTGGGTATGTGGTGGCTGGTTTCTTTCATCTCTCCCTCTGCAACTCTCTCTCTCTCCCTTTCCCTTCTTCTCCCTCTTTCTGATTCTTTCTCTTCTTCTTCTTCCCTTCTTTTTTCTTTTCCTCTTCCTCTCTGTCTTTTTTTCTTAGTTGCAGATTTGTGTGATTATGAGTTTTTTTTTCTTGAAATTTTGGGGCTGATTATGGTTGGAAGGAGGAGATTTGATTGCTTTGGATATAATTTGATTGGATTGTTTGCTCAAGTGATGGAGGAGAGTTGGCTTTGATTCGGAGAGACTGAAAACAAAAACGCCGAAAACGAAAACGACTTTCTGGCATTTTCAACATTTATTCATACTTTCATTTTCATTCTTGAAAACAATTAAGCTTGTTTCTCAAAATAACCCACCGAACACGTTTTCACGTGAAAACAGAACAAAAACAGAAATGGCCCTTGAAAATGATACCAAACGAGCCCTAAGCCTCTTCTAGCCAGCAATGACTCGGGTTTATCCTTAGATTTATTGTGAGGAAAGTGCCGATGAAAGACATTCACTGCTCTTGTCACCCCATCTTCGCCATCTATGGCCTTGGCAATTTGAACAGAACGCTCTTTAACCTTTCAACCGAAAATAGTTATTTATTGTTAATTTAATCTATTCAGGTCCATGCAAAGGATTGAAATAACAAAAAATAACTCCAGAGTTGTGACAAGTATTTGCATGTTGAAATTGATTACAAAACAACGTCAACTTCAATTAAATCAGCGCATATGCATGTGTGATAAGTTTACACTCCAGAAATGACAAATTATATGTAAATCACTTGGAAGTTTAAAAAGAAAATGGTAAATACCTTTGGATCTAACATGAAGCGTATGGCATCGACCAACTTTTCAAGCAAGAATTCATCAGCTGGAATGGGTGCAGGACCTACTCGTCTGGCATGCACCCCCCCCCAAAAATGGCTGGTCCCCAAAGAATGGTACAATTGTGGTTGGACACTAAAAAGAACAGAGAACATGAGCCAAATGAGTAATTGAATCATTTACAAATGTAAGACTCCCCAAGAATATAGCATTATCAGTTACTGCAGCTTTCAGACCAGCGCAGCAGTTGTCCCCGCAACCCCATGATGCAACTAAGAAATTTTTTCAAATCCAGTGAGAAACCCGGAGTAGCCTAGTTATCCAATAGGGGAACAAAACAACAAAACGACAAAAAGGTGCATCAAGTTCACGTTACATTCTGAACACCAGTGCAGTGAAATCCCAACCAAATTAAAAAGAATTAAAAGCATTGAAATTTACCACAGCAGAGCATATATGAAGGCTTTCAGATGTAAAGAATCATAAGAATACAATGTGCTTGAAAGTAATCTTTTTTTAAGAATCAAGACTTACAATTACCAAGGCCACCCCAGCCTCGGTTGATGACGCCCCTCTGTCCAGTTATTTCCAGAGTTTGAAGAATAATATTGGTCATTTTCTCTGGTTCTTCAAGAGGCTAATAAAATACACATAAAAAAAATTTAGCAAGCAAGACAATTTACCATTTCAATCAAATGCACAATCAAGTAACCTTAACTATGCAATTCAGGTATATTCTGCATGTATTAGACATGCCTCAGTCAAATTAGATATTGAACAACTGAACAGCCAAAGGGTCGATTTGTCATCTGTCATGAATAGACCTCCACAACCTGTTCGTTGGGGACCAACATGAAGGTGGTCAGTCTTTGGAGATTGTGGCTTTGGTTGATTGTTTTAATTGGGAAGGAACAAGTAATTTTTTTAGGGTAAGGGCAAACAGAGCTCCTTCGGGATAGAACTGGGAAAAGAATATTAAACATGAATAGAGAAATCTGCAACAAACTCACAAGGCTATCAAATCCAATATAGACAGGCTGTTCACCAGCTGCAAGCCACTCCGCAAGTGAATCTGGGGGTTCATAATTTGAAGCAAGGTCAAGAAAACCAAAAACAACAACATCAACCTTTGGTCCCCAATCTGCCAAACAAGTAAAACGTAGAGCATATCAGCAAATAATCAGCATACTGTATTCTCATTTGGTCAAGCTGGTCTATTTCTACCACATCAAATCATATTCCGGAGGCTTCTGCAATATTGTCAGCATACTATTGCTAGAACAAGAAGAAGCCCATGTAATAAGATATGCTTAATAATCCAAAACCACCATGAGGATTCTGAAATGACCATGAATCTCTATCATATCTTCAGCAAGAAATTATAAATAAAAAAAATAGTATGAGTAATGGCAGAAGGCATCTTCTGGTACTCTTTCTCCATATTAAATGAAATTATGACTTTAGTTTACCTTTTAATGAAATAAATTACCTCGAAGATTCATAAACTAGTGGAGGGATCTAGTAGACAGTAGATTGTGAAATTATTCACATACATTTTTAGCCAACGAGATTATCAGCATACTTTAAAGTGCAAAACAAGTAAGAAACAAGGTGAAGAGTAGTAAGGAAATCCACAAGGAAAAAAATAGTAACAAGCTCTGCGAGTTCATACTTGAAC